TTCATATATGTTTTGTCACGCAAACTAAAAACCATGAAGGCTATGTCATCTGCATATAATCTCAAATTATGTGCATGTGGCTGCTAGCACACCTACATTTAGCCCAAATTCAAATTAAAGAAAATCATGTGACACTGGAATGCAACTGTTTAAAAATTAAACAAGGTTTGATTCATAAATCCCAAATTACCAATAAATTTCTAGACCAAATATAATTACTGTATTAGGAAATACTGTACAGTACAATATTTTTTACTAAATGTACTGTAATATACTGTACAAATATTAACAGTTCTAAAATCAGGAGACAAAACACTCACACCCGAAGAAATTTTTGGTAAACGAGAACTTTTATCATTCAAGAAACTTGGCCATTATGTGATCATATAATGTTGTATACTGCATTGAGATGCATCTGTTTTGATATCAAGATAATTAGGGATGATTACAGGTACTCCTCGACTTACGACCTATTCGACATATGACCGCCTCAGTCGTACCAAAAATATTTCAAATTAAGTACGTATTTTCCAGTACTGAAACGTTTCCGTCCCGTACGAGAGCGTGGCGTGGGCTGGGCCGCCTCATAGTTTACAGCGTCCACGCCATAGAGCGCTCAATTGGTGGTTGGCCATCGTTGTCGTCGGTAGTGATCGCGCTGTGTACTGACAATATTTTCGGTTCTAATTCCCTTTAAAATGACTGGCAAGCATAAAAGTGAGAGTTCTGGTGGTGCTCAGAAGAAACAAATGGCAGAGGCATTTGCTACTATTAATAAGGGGATGCAAATGTTTGACGAAATGGATCAAAATGTTGAGCGTTTTGCAAAAGTTGACAGAATGATCCAAGATGCACTTGCTTGCTACAGAGATATTTACAATGAAAAGAAAAGGCAAACTGTGCAGTCTAAATTAGACATATGTTTTAAGGAGTCCCCCACTGCTCTCTCTCCATGCCCCGTGTGCATTCAGCTGACTACATTAAAGGTAAGTGCACAGTAACACTATATTCATTCATCATTATTGATTACTTTTACTGTACTGTATTGTATTTCATTTTAGATTTTCTATGTATTATTTTTTGCATTTTCGACTTGCAACCAATTTGACTTACAACCTGGATTTGGGTCCCTAACCCCGTCCTAAGTCGGGGAATGCCTGCACTACCAAATTAAGTCCAATGAAAATACAAAACTACAAATCTCAAACTTGATAATTTGAGATATTTAAATGAGTGGTTAAAAAATAACTATAGTAAGAAGAGCCAATATTGACCAAATATTTGTTAAAGGGGTTTTCATACATGTAAACCAGAGCAAGCAATATGTAATATCCATAATACTGTATATACAGTATAAGAGGTAATAGCAAGATACTTATTGTGACATGTATGAGCAGGTTGCTCACACAAATACATTAACTTCTCCAGTCACTAACCAAATTTCTTATTACCAAAAATCTTCACTATGTCAACTGGATTTGGAAGAGCCACAAGAGAGAGAAATAATCCTTCTAGAATTGTCAAGAACCTTCCACACAAAGATCTAGTAGATTTTTACATGAAATGGGTACCCTATTAAAAATTTGGGGCTCACTATAAATTGGGGTCCAATTATCAGTCTATTGTGATGGACAGTCCAAGACACCAAAAATTTCAGTACTACAGGTTGACAATCCCTTATCTGAAATCCTTGGGGCCAGAGGCATTTCGGTTTTCGGAATTTTTTGGTTTTCAGAATTTATTTTTATTTTTATGTGTGTGTGTATTAGCCGATCCAAGCACAAGTCACTGACCCACATTGGGGCCTGGGGGGGGGGAGTGAAAATAGAATAAAAATTATAATAATAATAATTCATAGGTCTAGGTCGTGTTTCTCACTTTTGATCTTTTTTCATCGTATTTCTATTATTATTATTTTATTATTACAGTATTATTGCTATTATTATTATTGATAATTTTTTATTATATTTTATTAATATTATTATTATTATTGTATTATTATGGTGTATTTTTTATTAAAATTTTGATTTACTATGAATAATTATTATTATTATAATTATTATTACTATTACATTTTCGCTCCCCAGGCCCCGATGTGGGTCAGTGATCTATTCGGTTTTCAGAGCTTTTCGGTTTTCGGATACAGGGTTGTCAACCTGTACTGTATACTGAAGATACTGCCACAACAGTACACCCCCTTACAGTACAGTACATGTACAGCATAACCTCACATTATCAAACAATAAGGGGCTGACTCATGTTAGAGAACGTGAAATGGAATGTGAAATGTTCATCTCCTGCCTTTTACAGTAACTGTATATATTTAATCAACAGTAAACCCTAAAGTAGTATTACAGTGATCTTGACATGTTCATAACCATTCACTGTTTATATGTTTTCATAGCTTTTGTTACATACAAATCTGCAGGTATGAATGTTATAAAATATAATAGTGTGTGTGTGTGTGTGTGTCAGCCTTTACCACCTTCTATAAGCTACAGCAATGACTTATTTGTTACTATGTCATTTATGTATACTGTAATGTATTCCTGGCAAAGCATCAGGCATGTGTATCAGCATCTACATCAACTTCCTAGACACCAAAAAGTACAGAATTGGGCAGGCTAGTGGCACTACTGTACTGCAGTACAAATGCTCAAGACTCTGTAACTATATAACTTAGTTGGCTAGATATTTGTCCAGTCACCTTAGCATATATGAAGACATAAGTAATTGTTTACAAAATTATGGACAGTTCATATCATACAAAAGATTTAATTCATTTTTATAAAATAATTATTTAAAACACAAGATATGTTTAAAATACTGACAAATTTTTCAGTAAATTTTCATGATTTACAGTAAATTTCTTACACATGTATATTTGTTACTGCAGTGTGTGCCAAACAAATTATTTGCTCACCTGTTATTTTTGCTTATCAGATATGAAAAGTAAGAAATAAAATTATATTAAAAGTTCAAATTTCTATTAACAATTAATTAAATTAAAAATAATAGAAGCAAATAAGTTCTAAGAAAAACTCTTGTCATACATACACTGAGAAGATGACCATCACTTATCCAAACTAGCAACTGACACAGCTGAGAGTTTGCCTCCCTCAACATGGCAGCCACTCAGACGTGATACAATGCCATTCAATGTGATATGTTTTGAGATTTGTGGATATAAATTTTTGTGAAGAACAGTTATTAGTGAGATTTCCTTACAAAAACCACAGAATATTAATTCTTACTTTGCAGCAACAAATTATTTGCTAAAATAATGTAGAACTGTAAATGCATGAAAATGAGGTGAAAACAGGCAAACAAAAAGATTCTGCCTATTTTCACCTCATTTTCATACATTTACACTCTACATTTAAGGTAGGATGATAATCTTTGATTATCTAGATATAATGGCCAGTTCCCACTTTTAAAAGTGGGTTGGTAATAGGAATGGCATTCAGCCATAAAATTTGTGCTGATGGCAACTATAAGACCTGCCGTCAGGTAATCACAGCTATCCCACACATGTGTAGAAAACAGCCATAAAACAGTGAAGATGATGATGATGATGATGATATTTCCACTCTACATTATTCTAGCATGATGATTCTGGTTTCTAAGCAAAACCCATTACTATACTATGTGTGATTTTTTAGACAAAATCTGCTTAAAAGATGTGCACCACTTCATTGAACATCTTTATATCCCCAAAATACCACATAATAACTCGTTATATCTAGGAGAGCCAGCAATCTCACCAGTGGGTTTACATAATGTTTGTTCTAGTGTTGTTATCCCAGTACTAATTCAACAGAATATAATTACTGGTGAATCTCCAGTCCAATCTTATGATATTCCAGATGACCAAGTGACCAGTAATTCAAAGTACAGTACTGTATTACTACAAAACTAACAGTTGGTGGAAAAAAGAAGGCTGAGCTGTATTTTTATTGTACCATTAAGGGACCACTGGGTCCCATGTCCAATAACATGCAACTTTACTGGAAAATGAAGATTAAGCCTTAAACTTGATGTGCCAATAAGCTTGGGTCCCACTAAGAGTTGGGACTCAAAAGGCTCAAGACCTGATAAGAAGCCAATTTAATTGACTATGAAGACTGACCTTAATTTCAGTTTGGTTTAAAATTTTTGAGACATCTAGAATGCAGCTCAGTCTTCACTTTTTATCAAACTTTATTGGGACATTGATACTAAGGCTCAATCTTTATTTTCCATTAAAGTTGGGTCTTATAAGACAAGGTACTCACTGGGTCCTATGTCATAATGTGTGCCATAATTATTAGCACTTCAAGATTAGGGCTAAGCCTTTATTTTCAGTGAAACTAGGTTTTATTAGGGCTCATGGATCATTGCACAGGCCCGAAATTCTTAAAAGCTCCAAATTTGAGTTTAAAGTTTGATGGCTGCATGACTAAATTAAAATAAGTGCATGAAGAATTGGGGAACATCCAATTTGGGGATAATTTTGTCTGGTTAAGGGAAAGTCCCTGAGTACCTGGAATTTTCCATTAACTAGACTAGCTGCACACCAATTAATCTGGTACCTGGATTTATACAGAAAATAGAATCTAGATGATCTGGTGGCACTGCAACAAAGCAGCACTAAGAATTATGTGGTCCCTCTAAACATGAGGTAAGATTAAAAATCAGAAAGTTAAAACCTGCCCTGTTGTCAACTGAATCAGAGCATATAATACTGAATTATACTTCATGTTTTAACTAATACTTTATATATGAATTGGTAAGACAATTTCAAACAACCTCAGTTGAAAAAATTATGCTTAAACCCCCAAATTACAAACAGTATATAAATTAAAGCAACAGGTAAAAACAAACAGTATATGAAACTAGAGCAACAGTTAAAAACCATGCTACTTGCTAGCTCTTATAATACAATTATAGAACACCCTATAGGGTTTCACATATTTGATTTTGAATGATTTAACTAGTTATGGTAAAAAATAAATGTCATCTTCGTAATCCAAAAATTTTACAACACTGTTACAGTATGATATGAGAATCTCTGTACTGAATACATCATCACTGAGCGTAAACAGGTTTAGCAGTTATTGTAGCAATACTGTGATAAGAATTTCACTGAACACCCAGCATAAGACAACCTGCCTTACAAGGGCATCAAAGACATGCACCTCAAGAGAATGTATTGGGGAAACATTTCTTTATCAAAAAAAGAAAAGATACATGAGGTAAGATTGTACTAAAGCTAGGTAAGATTCTGAGCCTTGAAAAGAAGCCAAATGAATTTAATGTCACTGACACAAAGGACTAAAAATATCCAAAGGTATCTTTCAAGGCTCATGATCACTTAGCTTAATAATAATTTGTCAAAATACCTTTTCTGCTGCACTACCACTATTTTAATTTTATTGCACTAGCTATCCTTACTTTAGAACAGCAAGCAAAGCATGACCTAAAGTGTGGTCTCGCCCCACAAAATATTATCCAATTGCCTTAACTATACTTGGTCACCTACACCATAAACAAGAAGCCTACATACTACTCTTTTTCATTCTGCATTTTGCATAAATATACAGGAAAATAAAAAAATATCACTTTAACCAGCTGGCAACAAAAAATTGCTGGTGTATGTATTAAAACAATGAATTGGCAGCATATTCAACAAAGTCAAGCCTATAGGTATCTCATTCTATCATTATCACTGAGGCAGTATGTAGGTCATTAAAAGGAAATATCAAACACTCCATTACTATGAAATTTATGTACAAATAAAACTATGAGATACATATTATATAATGTCTACCTACTGTAGGTACTTTTGGAAGAGGCTATCTTACATATGAAAATAATTTAAGGTTTTATACCAAGCCAACATTTTATATGTTCCTTTATGGGCTGATAATACTGTAATCTAAGCAGCATCATTTCTCGTGTGGAGCGAACACTGTGAAGCAAGCTCGCTTCACTTTCAAATACAAGAATTACTGAGCAAGTAAGGACAAAAACCACAAAGACAAAAGCTACAAGAAATACTCTAAGAAATGTTTTTACACTGAGCCTACTTATCCGGCCCCTAAGTAGCCTCTGGGCTCCTCCCCGTGTCAGATCCTGCGGAAGAGATAGTGGTGGAACTTTCATTTTTTCTCTTCTGATGGGTGCCAAACTACTTCTTAGTGGACTTTCTAGACATTTATCAGCTTTTCTTGTTAGTGGAGATCGAGGGTCAATTTGGTTATGGGGTGGTCCCAAAGTCTCTGTTGATGAAGTATCACCAAACTCACTTGTGTGACCTCGACCACTGTAGTCACAATAGAGTTGTTGTTGAAGCATTGCTTCTTCCCCTGAAAAGTTATTGAAAAAATTGGGTAAATACTAAGGAGCATCCTAAGATATGAAAAATCTCTAGATTTCCAAAATACAAATGTATCACAATGTAAGAATGAAAACTTATTTGTTTCAAGTTAGGAAGCTAGAAGCATGACTAGTATAAAATTCCTTTCCAACATTTGTCAATGTGCAACACAACAATTCTCCAAGAACAGAGATGAACTAGTTAAATTCTCAGGTTGGTAGTCACAAACTTGCAGATACCATAAAAAAAATAACATCAATGCTCACTTTAGAATCTGAAATTGATCTACAGGACTCATACTGTACTGCAAAGACACCATGCCACCAAGTTCACAATTCCTATAATTCAAACCCATGAGATTGAATGCTTGTTAATATTAGAAATGTTTCATGCAGATTGAGAACATTCTAACAAAATTTACTAACATGCACTGACATTCGCTGTGCAAACACAAGTGATGAGACAAAGTTATTTATAAATTAATCAACATACCTATTTCAGAGAACATTTTAATTCAGTGTGTCTAGCTGTAAAAGTAATAAGCCTTACCAAATTTCATTTAGTAAGCAAAAGCTTTAAAAAAAATTCATAATAATTCAACCTTTTCCCATTGAAAAAGAGGGTTACAATATAATTGAATAATGCATGATTTAATAATGAATGCAAAAAATATAACTGTCAAAGCAATTCCATGTAAAATATTATTTAACACAGAAACTTTACATTGAAAAAATTACAACCTACAAAAAAACTCACTTGCAAAGATATAAACAAACAAAATTATACATAATCGTATGTATAATAAACAAAAAAGTCCTATATCATGGAGCACATCAAGAAGCTATTCTTACCATTTACTTCCAACTCCTTACTGTTTCCTGTTACGTCCTTCTCTTTTTCCTTGTGCTCTTCATCTTCCTGTTTTCCTTTGGTCTCCAAGCATGGTTCAAGACTACTCTCAGCGTCCATAACTAAAACAAGCATACATGCATTATGTCACCCTAAGCGGATCAGCCATTTTGAACCATTTACAGGCCTCAGTAAGACCTGCTGTCCTATGCCAGGATCCAAGAATCTTTTGGTCAGTACCAGGGGGTGTATTCGTATCAACAAAGTCCAAATTTTTTAATTTATTTTATCATGATTGTGTTTTATATTTCTCTTTAATTTATTTCATTGAATCACAAGAGACACTACAAGATCTTTATGTACACTCAGAGAAAAGACCGAAAATGATGGCAGTAATGAAGATTATATAAAGAACTAGTCTTGGAGAAACAAGTCTCTCAAATCCTGTAACAAGAATAGTAAAACAAGAGAGAGTGCACTGCAGTTAATGGGGGTGTTGGTGGTACAGCGGTAATGCGCATAACTCCCACCAATATGTCAAGGGTTTGAGCCTCGGGCCGGACACACGTGAGAAGGGTGTTATCCAGTGTGACCATACCAAACCTTACAGGTTTCCCAGTCCCTAGATTTCTCCTGTACTAACACTGGACAGACCACCCAAATGGCTAGGTTAGTAAGCTGATAAGTAGCAAAAATAATACCATCTGTTTGCTTTGTCATTCACTGAAAGTCAAATTCCTCCTCACAAAATATTGTTTAATGTTGGAGACAGCATGCTGCTTCAGTATATTTTACCCTGTATTGAATTACTAGTGTCAAAAATATCTAATCATATGATAAAGCTCTTGATTGAGGAGTACTTCCCCTGATCGGTCTGTGCAACACAGGGTGTAGAAACATTTTGAAATTAGCCAGTAGTGACATTCAATACTAGGTATGCCAGAAAATTAAATTTCTCATTAAAATATTGTTATGGAGTTGTGTTTCTTTGCAGTTAATAAAACATAGAGTTGCAAGTTATGCCTACAATACTTGCATTAAGTAGAGTAATAATTGTTTTAATTCAAATTGAAAGCTTCATATGTTTAGATACACATAGACGGCTTTAGTGGTGCAGGTCTTGCCAAGTGCACAAATAAACAGTACTATACCTTGCTACATCCTGAGTAATGCATTTTGAAGCACATTCTTATTTTCCTCATACCCTTGGGTATGGGTTTTAAAAATCTGGTTATGACCGACTACTACCACCAGAAAATAGGGTCAATCAATAGGGAAATTTTTTTATCCTGAGGTCAATATGACAACCTAAGAACAATATTGTTCTCTTTTCTTTTGCAAATTTTGGTAGCCATTTGTTTGAAAAATGGAATAAGCAAAGTGGTCACTCTCATCACTAGAATACCAAGCAAAAGGCAAAACATCTCACAGAAGAGCTTTCTCATACATCAAAGCTCTACATATTATTCCCAGTCTCAAAGATATGAAGCTGAATCTGAGACTACTGAAATGCTTATAATTGTTGAGGAGGATGACATAGAAGAGAGCACCTTAGTCCTCCTGCTTCTACAGTGATGCACAGACCTATAGATCAGAAATGTTGTCACCATATCTGAGATCCAAGCATAATACAGATGGATTAATGGATACCATTACCATCATTGCCATATCTCACTGAATTCTTTATTGGGGGAATGAGATGGAAAAGGAGGAGTGAAAATGGGAATCTCAACCTGAAAGATAGTGTGGCATTTGAGAGCATAAGGCAGATCACCAAGTGTTCTTTTTTTCATCCTTTAAACCTTTTTCTACCATAATACATGATAGCCCTAGTCAAAAGTAAATACAGTACAAATTCTCCCTTCATTCTCTTGATTGATTCATCCTTAACTCCTGTAACAGAAGTAGTGTCATTCATCAGCATAAAGTGTCAGAGATGTGTAAAAATAGTATTCAAATAAAAGTATCATCAAAGGCAAAAGGGTAATCTCTCTGGTACTGTTGTGATTCTATGGGTATTCAAGATCAACCAGCCTATACTCTAGGCTTTTGAATCTTGTAATATATATTCTGAGATACAAATTGTGCACATCTACAGTGAAATTCTATACACACCCTGGTACATGAACATGATCAATAAAGAAATAAAACAACATTACAAAGGAGCTTTTCTCATAGCGGAGATGCACTGTCTATGATGTTCGAGCAAAGAATATAAATTATAAACTATATAACTACTAGCTATAGTATAACATAATGCAAGAATGCATGTAGCTTTAAAAATCATATTTTCCTTTAATACAAAGCATTTTTCATTGCCAGTGTGAACAAAATCATCTTTTATACAAGCCAAAAGAAGGAACTTTTTACTGTAATAATCATATGACCCATGAAATTTGAAAATCATGAAAGCAGTAGAAAATATGAAAAAAACTCCAAAATTAAGAATTTGGAAACTAAGAAAAACTAAAAACTAAAGGATATACTGTATACAAATTGTGAAATTGACTATGTATCACAGAATAGCAATACTGTACTTAACTTTACCAACAAAAATACTGAAAATATATCAACTGATCATTCTATACTGTACTGTACAATTACTTGGGTGTGTTCCAAACATCAAATGAGAAGTATATTGTTATGGTTTCAAATCTAAAAATTAAAATCTGTAGTCAATATGAAACAATGTAAGAGCTTATATTAAGAAGAATTCATCTTTAAAAAAAGCAGCCCTGCAAAATGCAACAAATGCAAGCTCACACTACTCCCTGCAGGATTTCTTCTCGCATTCATTTTTTCTTAGATCTGTCTGGATGCACTCTAAACTGAACTGCAAACCTTATATATCTACCCTGTCAACCCTACCTTCAGTGCCCCTAAAGACAGTGCCCAACAAAGTATTGGATTACAAGTGTTATGACACAGGATAAGAAACCGATTGCACGTTTCCTCTTACACGAAATTACATCAATGTAAAAAATATGTACCCGGTAATTGAACCAAAACACTATTTTCTGTACACGAATAAATAGTTCAATTAATTTTGGGTCAATTTACAACACTGTGTTGGACAATCTAGGATTAAGTATATCAAGCATAGCAAATCCTACTCTATCCTAATGTCAAGCTTAAATACCCAAGACAGAAACACCAAAAACAATGACTTACAACTTGAATCTAGAATAGAAGATGAACGAGATTTGTTCTCTTGTGCCTCTAATAAGGGCTCCAACAGTGATAGTGGAGGTAAAGTTGACTCTGGACAGTAGGCAGCCCCAGGACCTTCAAATAAATGGAAACAGTTGAGAATAATTAGATAGTTTTGATAAGTGTAAAGGGGGCAGTAGCTTTTAAATTATTGATGAATAGGTAAGTAATGAAGCGCGCACTTGAATTCATATGAAGTGATTTTTTCCACTGAACATTGATAAACGTACAGTAGAGTCTTGATAACTCACGGGTTAAGTATTAGAAGACATCGTGAATTAACAAATCGTGAGTTATCATTTAATTGATTACAATGGAAATAATTAGGTTGGTTCCAGAAGCCAAACTATACCCTTAAACTGTTCCAAAACTGCCAAACACATAGATATTGTACCAAAAAAAAATAGTTCTACATACATAAATAGCTCCTTCCCTTCTCATAATCGTCCTGTGGGTTATGCCAATACAACATGGAGAAAGGTAGGCACTGGGTTAGCTGCGACTGCACTATGTAAACAATAAACTAGGAATTTAATACCACACAATAACTCATCTGAGGTTAGGTGTGGGATTTTTTTTCTACCTCCCACACACAATCCATTTTTCTTATTTTATAGTTTTATATTATATTTTCTGTATTTTTAAGTCACAATAGAGCACTGAAGTGATATTTATATACTATTTTCTTTATTTCTAAGTCAAATTAGAGCAATATAATTATATTTCCACAACTTTTATGGTTTCTTAGGTAAATAAACACTGTGGCAGCCAGCGCTTGGCCACGAACTATGAATATTTGAGAACGAGAAATTGTTTTGCAAATTATCATGACTCTCCTGTATAGATATAACAAGAATCAAGCTTAACAATCACACCTTAAACCTACAAGTAATTCTCGTTAAATGATGGGGTTGTGTTCCAGAAAAAACTAATGTTAAGTGAAATTAGCACTGAACAAGGGATAACAGCAAAGCATGGAGTGGTAACAGCAGGTTCAAACAGCAGAGCGTTAAGCACTGAGCACAATCTCCCAAATAATAATAATAAACGAGTTTGTTATAAATGGTTTTGAAGTTAAATGATTGATCTATTAACACCAAGCATACACACCCTTAATTTTTCTTATTTTGTAGTTTTATATCATATTTTCTTTATTTCTAAGCCACATTAGATTATTGTAATGATTATTCCACAACTCCGATTGCACCACCTTACCTAACCACCTCCCCTAACGCAGCACTCAACATCGTTTGTCTTAAGTTAAATTCAAGTGTTTCATATACAGTAAGTCCGCACTTAACGTCATCCCGCTTAAAATTGTTTCAGTACTACGTCGCTAAACTTTAGAGACCAAAAATTCGCTTAACGTCCCGGTGATCCGATACTACGTCGTTTTGCTTTGTCACAGACTACATTTTACGGTGCATCATCCTCTCTCATCTGGCCGAGCTACACTCTCTCGGTTTGGCGCAGAGTCTCAGTGACTCCCCGCCCTCCTCCGCTTCCGCCATACTCCCGCCATCCGCCTCCTCCGCTCCACTACCCACCACACACTTGCTCTTCCACCTCCGCCCATCCGTGAGTACCAATACAAACTTAGTAGTTGTATATGTATGCACTATTTTCTACAGACATGGCAATGATTTTCTGTATATATAATGTATTTCATGGGGCAAAGGGAGGCCCAGGAACGTAACTCCCATATTTTATCTATTTTTTATGGGGAAAAATGATCCGCTTACGTTGTTTCGTATAACGTCGCGTTTTTAGGAATGTAACCCCGGCGTTAAGCGAGGACTTACTGTATTTATTATCTTATTATATCATAAAATAATCAATGTTTGTGTTAAAAAAATTTGTTTACATTCATAAATGTACTTGTATTACATCTTATTGCCAAAAATATTTCCTTGGGAATGCATCTCCAATTTATATAAAATAAAGTCAATGGGAAAATTGGTTTCGCGTTACGGATTTCACGTTACGGACAAATTTTCAAGGACACATACCTTCCGTTACCCAGGGGATGCCTGTATAAGAAAGTATCTGAGATTTTTTAATTTTAAGCAGATGATAGTCCAAGTGGGGCTCAAACTGATGTCAAAACCATAATGATGAGGGATATATAAATTCTGACCTCTCACTGAGGCGAGATCAGGTTAATTTTATAAAATTAAAATTGAGGAGCTTTGAGAACTTATATCTACTGTCTTCCAACCATACATGATGGCCTGAATCAAACCAGATTTGCTTTAGTCTGCATTGCCAGACTGACATAGACAGCAAATGCTGTCAAGTTTCTTGTTTAACATACTGTACAGCAGGTAACACCAACCACCAAAAATTAAGATCGTGACGCAAAAAAATAAATAATAAAAATTTATGACCGATTGATCTCATGACAGTAAACACTTAAGAAAATACCAGATGGGAGAATAGCCGCCTAAGCATATGAAAAGTACCTCACCTCCGCAGCCCCCATTTATGTGGTTGAGCCCTTCTGTGGAGTCTTGTGAGCCTGTGTCAGCTCCACACAATACATCCTCATCCAAACTACTGCTTCGGTCTATATATGGAAGAGGCCGGTGGACTCGACTCATTACAGCTGAAGCAAGCAAATGGAATTGTACAATTAGACAAAAAAAAAGATACTGGAGGTGAATGAATCCTGTACTATACATGGAAACTACATCTAAATTACAATTAATTTACTTAATATTATTCTATCAGATTAACATACCATTCTGATAAGCATAAAGACTATTAAGCATTCTAACTGTTGTTCACATTACAAACAGAATAGTGTAATTGCCCAATACATATACCAGTATTGTACAGTATTTATAATGTGAACATAATAAGATTAAATACAGTTGGTCCATTTAAGTGAAACCTCAGAGACTAACAAACTAAAAAGCCTATTTACACTTATTTACTGTATATACATATATATTGTCAATGCAGTTTTGTGACCTGGTTATCCATTGATGTTGACCTCTAAGATACCTGCACTAATTTGAGATCAGGTTTCAATAAGTCATTTCTCAAACTTGTTCTCAAAATACAACAGAATCTTCACAGTACAGTTTGAATGAATAATCAGCTTACAAAAGTGCATCAACAATAATGGCAAACTTGATGAATAAATCGATATATACAGTAAACAGTATAGATCAACCTCCCAGTTCTATTACTCCCTATGGTTCCACTTGAATGATATCCTACAAAATGAATTGACAGTCAGAAAAATATATGAACTGTTGCAGGAGATCCTTCTCAAAAACCATTACCAGGTGTATCTAGCATTAGAAAGTGAAGTAGTCTCTAATCTACACTATATTCTACTTCTGTTTTTACCTTAAAACTACTGTACAGGGTTTGTTTATGAAGCAACATTACCATCATAAGTATCAGAGTCAGCTGGTGTAGTAGGAAGGGAAGTTGATCTGCCAATGTTCCTGAGAGAGACTCTATTTACAGTTGGTGGCTCTCTTAAGATGCTCGAGCTTTCTTCCACCACCTCCTTTTCACAACGTCCGGCATATCGGAAACGTGAACCCCGCGAGAAAAAAGATCCTCCTGTTACTACAACACCCTGTTTATTGGAATTTTCTAGCCTGTGGATAAAAGGAAGAAGAGTTTATGTTTGCTGTTTACGTTCAATTAAAATTATAAAAACAATTATAATACAGAAAATGGTGTGGATCGATTCTCCTCAGTCATTCCAAGGTAGAAAATATCATGAGAAACATATACAGTACATATATACAGTGCAGTAGTCTCAAATTTTTTCCAACTAATGCATGAAAGACAGAAACAAGAGGAAATACACAAAAAAAAATGTTCTTTTTAGTCAATTTCATTCTTTCATAACAAATGGTTGTGTTATGCAGGCTAATGAACTGAGTACTATTATGAGTCTCATACATTCAAGGACTTCATAAGATCCTAGCACATGGCAAATCTTACCATATGTTTTCCTTCTTCCACTGTGTAGTATGGCCAGTGAGTTGATGAAACTACTGTACCTAGAGGCCTACTTAAAGTAAATGTTGCCAGTACTGCACTCTACCTTCTTTATTCGCCAATTATTGTAAAGTTAGGTACTCATTCACAAAAATGTTAAACCATTGGGGTAAGAGGCAAGTATTGTATCCATTCAGGCACTACACCCCTACAGGCCTATTAAATGGGAACAAATTTGAAATACAAATATTGAATTCAGGCCCTCAGACACCTTTAATACTCTTCAATAACACACCAAGCTTTAAAACAAAAATTCTATGGAGCACTCGCTTCTTTCTCCTATTTATATGGTGTTTTATAGTAGTAGCTTTTATTGAGACCTGTGCATTACCTCCTGATCACAAAATAATGGTGAATGAAAGTCTTGGAGTGAATGGGTATAAGGCAAGAAGAGATAAAACAAAGATGACAAAGACATTAGTGAGGTAAAGGGGGACAGGACAAAATAGAAATTAAAAAAATAAATAAATTGAAAGAGAAAAGGTAGTTCTGTTAAGTCAGTAAGAAGGAGGGCATAAAAATCTAAAAATGTAAAAGGACTGTAAGGCATGGAGGAGGAAATTCTACTTATTCACCTATGCCTGATGGTAGTAGATGGTGTAATAGACACAGGTAGATTAATAAGCTTAGCAAAGATAATCAACATCACCCTGACTACCAGGGAACTTGTCTGCAAAGATGAACTGCACTAAATTGAGCAGATAATAATTCATTGTACTGTACAGTATAGTCTGAATTTACGCGGATTTTGTTTACGATATGGTCATTTACGCGGCACCTTGACAGAATGACAATTTTAAGTTACGCGGTTCATTCCACCATTTACGCGAGAAGCGGCGCGGGGAGGGTGCGCATTAGGTCGCTCTTACGTTATCGCTGACGTCATATGACGTATCAGACTGTGATTGGGCCACGCATCCTTACCTCCCTCTGCCGCTAGCTGTGATTGGTCTAAGGTAACATGACGAGCCCTGCCACCAGAGGGAAGAAGTCGCTGACCTAGCCGGGCCAGTCTCATTGTTCTCAGTCTCCGCGTATACAGTTCTCTCTTATGCCCACTATTCCCCTCACAATGGCTTCCGCTGGACCCCCACCACCCCCGAGAAACCTTGATCTACCTGGACCAAGCCATGGTTATGTGAAGGAAGTCATCGAGTTGGCGGAGAAAATTAAGCTCATCCTTGACAAAGACACAGTCAATCATCGGTATGAAGTGTCTAATAACCTTCTATCGAAATATATGGAGCAGTATGTCCAGATGTATGATGACAACATCAATGCTAATCGTCAACGTAGTATTACGGACTTCTTCGCCCACAACCCACCACAACCACAGCCAGCCCAAGTCAGTGACAGTGACGATATGGACTTTGAGGGGTTTGTCAGGGAGGCCCTGCAAACCTCTGTGAATAGTGATAGTGATTCACTGGAGGGCCACTAATCTGCCCTCTGCCTCGGAACCAGCCGCCATCCCCGTGTGCCAACCCATCTCTTCTATTAACGTAAGTGTTAAACACCTTTATATTTGTACTGTAGTGTAGTTTTTTATTTATATATTATGTGTGTGTGCATACCATCATAAAATTAAAATGTTATTTTTTACTACAAGGTACGTATTGTGTCGGAAAAAGGGTAGTCTGGGGTCGGCCCAGTCTCTATTTCAATTAATCCCATATGTTCTGTTATTTCGTTTACGCGTTTCTCGTTTTATGCGGACCCCCACGGGTTCAATTGACCGTGTAAATCAAGACTATACTGTATTAATTTTAGATATACTTTGGAACTCAATATTTACTCTAATTCTACATAAGTATTAAATTCAAATCAACAGAGACTGTGTGTGATATTATGATTAGAATACAGTACAAATTTAACCTTCTTAATTCCTTTATATCTTTACAAATTATAAATTCACTAAAGAACTTATTTTCTGCATTGCATCATTCTAGGTCCCTCAACCGCTAACAAAATGTTCAATATCAAAGTTCATTTTTTTCAATATTTGTAAATGCTTTAAATTGATTATTTTTTCTATTTATAGCCATACTTATTCTTGCAAAACTGAAGTTACCGTCCAGCACATACGTGTAAAAGAGTCTCTGCTCAACTGCACATCTCCATAGGTGTCTGCATGCAGATGCTGTTGGGCACTTGAATCCTACAGTGTGCTTCTTCTGCAAGTTTAGCATAACATCAATACATGTGGGCATAAAAGCACACATAACAATCTTACAACTGTAGTTTGTGCTATGCTATTATACAAAATAACAGTACTAATATGCTTATAACCAATCTATAAAAATAATTCTTACATTTATATTTAAAAAGCAGTGCTAGTTTTTTACTGACCTAATCAATTATAGGTACCATTAAATGCAGTGCATTAGGTGAAAAAACAAATGTTTTAGAAGATATAAAAACTAGGAAACAATATAAAAATAATAAAAGTGAAGTTCAAAAAACAGCTTCCATTAAAAATACCCAAACCATCAGTAAATCAAAGGCACTGATAAACCTGCACTAATAGCAGTCATTCCAAGCACTTTAATCACCTTCCATTAAAGATAAAACAATAGAGAAAAATAAAAGAACCTACCCCAGAAAACAGATACTGATAATGAACAAAATCCTGAGAAAGTGTGTACAGTTTCAGCAGCAGTTTTGAAAAAGAAGCTGATTAAAGTTTTTCTAAATTTAGTAATGGCAACCCACTCACAAGTGGTTTATGCTAACAATGGACACAACTTCAACAACAGTACTGTACATCTTTCAGAAATTTCACCCAAATTAACAATTTCAGTCAACCATAGCAGTGGTCCATCCAGATGAATTATAAATTAAAAAATAACATCCAGTTAGTAGTAACACGAGAGTTAATCATACTATAGTGCGTTTTTTCCCATCTGAGAAGAGATGCCCCGCCCCCTCCTCAAGAGTTACAGCTGATTGGTTGTTAAAAATCTGTACGATTTCGTCCTTAAGTAACGATGTAGTGATATCTCCATTAGCCGGAACAATTGGTGCAGAGCACTTTCGGGAATGAGAGATTTCCGGGTAATGAGACAACCCTCTTAAGGCCGAAAAAATATCCCTCATCCTCGGAATTTTCCGGGTAACAGAAAAATGTTCTTTTTGAAGTTCCAGAAATTGCCCGGTGCATTATCTCCACAACCCGGAAAAACATCCCCCATCCCCTGAATTTTCCAGGTACTGGAAAATTTTTATCGGAATTTCCGGAGGCGCACCTAATTTTCATCTCTCAAACCCGGAAAAACTCTCTCATCCCCAAAATTTTCCAGGTATCAGGAAAATTTCATCAGAATTTTCCAGAAAATGTGCCCCTTGGAAAAACGTTCCCAAAGCCGGAATTTTCCAGAAAATTCCAGCTTTGCAAATGATTTTCCAAGAAAATTTCAAATTTGGCTATTGAAGAGTTCCGGGTTTGAGGGATTCCGGCTAACAGCGATATTACTGTATTTCTAAATGAATTTCTTCACAATCGTTGGGATAACCATTTCTAACAAGAAAGATATTTAGCTAAATTATATAAAGCTACATACAGTGGTCCCTCGGTTAACGAACACAATTCGTTCCAGAAGGTCGTTCGTTAACCGAAACCATTGTTTCAATGGGATTTTGGGTAATTGGTTCCAGCTCACCGAAAATTGCATACAAGCTAAAAATAAATGCAGTAAAGTACACTTACTTTGAGGTGTGTATGTAGAAGGCTCCTGGTTGATGATGATGATGATGGGAATTAGAAGTGGGGGTGGAGAAGGGAGAAGAGAAGGCAGTGGGGGTGGAAGAGAAGTCACCCCATGCTTCATGCTGCCATTTCACCCATAAAATTTTAAGTTCACTTGGTGTAACTCAAGATTATTTTCTTTAAATCAACACTGCACTGCATTACATATTGTCAATATGTAAAATAAATTTCAGAATGACCAATAATTGTACTGTAAAAATGTAAAAATAGTTTATGTTCAAGAGTCTCAAGCAAGATGCTTCCTCCACTGAGCAGACACAAACTGACGCCATTCTGGGCGAGTCAAGTGGCTGTTTGGCGAGCTAAAAACTAGTTCCCTGTACTTCAATTATGTTAAATAATTGTTAAAAAGACAAAAAAATTTAATATAAGACTTGGAAAATTATTGAATAGTACAACCTTCTTGATATTTACTCAAATGGTAACAGATTTAAGCCCTAAAACCGATTACTATATTGGCGGACTACTACACCAGCTAGTGAGCAGGCGAAAACATGTTGACACGATTTCGTAAGGATTTCGTGAATCAAATTTTTGTTTGTTAACCGAGTTGAAGATTCTTATGGAAGGTAATTCGTTAACCGAGGGATCACTATACATTCATTATTTCAAACATGAGCACGGTCGAAGTTTATGAGAAATCTTCACATGAATTAACTGATAAACATTGGTAGTAAATTCACGCTTTCGGAGGACGCATTTAATATACAGTATATGTACTTATTTTTACCCACAATAAGGCATACCAAGACAAATTATGTATCAATAATGCTATATTATGCAAAGACTAACATTTTAAAAGATCAGATTCACACTGAAATATTACACGGCCTCTGAAAGTTGATGGATGAATGAGAGACTTGGCCACTCGAGCGAACAGCCGTCAGCAGAGGCGGGAAATATGACTGCAGATGACTTCTGGACTTTACCAGAGAGCTCTCTGCTTAACTCCAATGCTACAATATGCTGTCTACTCTCGTATTAACAGTAATATAGTTTTAATGATCCATAATTTGTCGTAGTATGCCTTATTGTGGGTAAAAATAAGTATACTGTATATTAAATGCGTCCTCCGAAAGCGTGAATTTGTTACCAGTGTTTATCAGTTAATTCATGTAATGATTTCTGATAAACTTCCACCGTGCTCATGTTTGAAATAATGAATGTATGTATCTTTATATAATTTAGCTAAATATCTTTCTCATCAGAAACGGTCATCCCAACGATTATCAATAAACTCATTTAAGACGAAATCAGACAGATTTGCAACAAACAATCAGCTGTAACTCTTTAAGGTGGGGCAGGGCATCTCTTCTCAGCTTGGAAAAAATGCACTATTGACACAATTTCACTGATAAACAGTGATTAGAGCATCACCATTACTGTCATTACATATTAAGCACAGGGTCAATAGCAGGGTAAAGCCTGCAACTTGTAACCCATAATGTCAAGAATTCAAGAAAAGGTATGATGCCGAGGCAAATGTATCCTACATCAGGGGTGGACACAGAACAGCTCAAAATTGATCTGACCTTTATTTATGACCTTGACCTTTGATGAAGGACAGGTTCTTGTCCACAATAATATATATTACCTAGTAGTGAAACCCATGATTATTAAGTTTAATATGTTTATTTTCAGTTGTTGAGCAGTTACAAAATGAACACAAACATAATGAAAAGGCAAAATATGTATTGGGCAAACATATGGACAGAAAAATGCAATCAAGCATTGCCCAACAATTTTTTTGGGTAGAGATAATAAAAACACAAGTCTAAACTCCATGATATCCCCCCCCCCCCCGCCCCGGAAGAATACTTAATTATATACAGTAGTACATAAATGTATAGAAAATGACCTTTTACATGATATTCAACACGGTAGGGACACAGTTAAATAATGGAGCAAAGATGTTATAACATGGAGAGAGCATAATACACACCCTATTAAAATATCAGATGGCATAGGAAATAGGGCAAGTAACAAATGAGAAGTCAAAGGCTGTAATGGTACAGTCATAAAAAGGAAAAAAGTCACAGTGCAAAAAAATATGAGGAATCAATTGGAGATGAAAAAACATGTTAGAAGGATGCAGAGGTGTATGGGTGCACTGGAGCAGATGTATTGGGTCAAGGGAGACTGCTTACATCATGGGGGGAAAAAGTGAAAACAATAAATTAAGAGATAAACAGGGGAGGGGATATGGGGAATAAAGCAGGCAAGTTAAATTTATAATGATAAGTTGGATTAAAAATTCCTATTTTGTGGTCACCCCCTCATAGGTAAGTTCCCAGGAGTGAAACATTATATATAACACAAGATATAAAGATATGTCTATGGGCTCTTAATAATAGTAAAGATGACTGGATCCCTTCTTGCTTCCTGAGATACAGTACTACCATGTACACCCGCTAATAAATTACTTGGCATCCGTGTCATATTGTATTACGCCATAAGGGTGCCGAATAGTTTTTTAGTGGGTGTACATATACATAACAATGCCTCCCCCTTTTACTCTCACTCAGTATGCACAAACTAGGTTGAGACATAAATCTTCCACAACCTATCAGTATATACACAACCACACCTGCTCTCTCTTTCTAAATCTCCATCACCCTGGCTCTTTCACCCTTAAGCATTGGGTCTATGACTGAGAAATGTGGACTGACCCCTTTTATCTTTCTACCTCTTCCATAACCCCCACAACTTGGGCATTTACCTTAGTCATGTTTGCATTTTTTAAAAAGAGAGAGTCCAGAACATAATATTCATATCTAATGATGAATTATAGTACAGTATGTACAAGTAATGAGCTGAGGTAATATACAACTTATTACGTAAGTAATTCGTGCATTTATGAAAGTTAAATTTAGAACTTAAATTCTACTAACCTTAGTCCTTGCATCCTAGTGCACAGCATGCAAAGCATTGCAGACCATCAATACATGGAGCCAAACTGTACATCTAAAACATTCATCAAGAAAACTTATAAAAAGGATTATGTTGATGCAATTCATATTTTATTTTAAGAGAGCTGTCACAGGTGTTATGCAGGCATGAGTTAACAACCTTGTTTGTATACACCCATCCTTCTTAAATCTGGATAATTTATGAATGAGAGAAGTGGAGAGTCATTAGCAGTGATAGAGAAAGAAAGAGTAAGTGAGTAGAAAATAAAAGAATGGAAAGAAAGATTGTTAAAGAGATGAAGATTCACAAGGGAAACAGGAATGGAGTGAAAAAATAAAGAAATACATGATTCAAGACACACAAAGAAAGATATTTATTGCATACAAATGCAAATAAAATACTTTATTCCCCAAACAAACTGACTTCTTCTGGATGTAATTTTAACGGTGCACAGTAATATCAGTCTATAATTCTTTAATTTATTTGAAATTATCAAAGTACCACATCTCATAAATAGCATTTAGTTATTCAAACCAATTATTTGTAAATACAAATCTACCTCCCTATCTACATAATACAGACCCTTTCTGGCTGTATAGCTTGAAAGCTTTATCACATTTTCTCACACCAAACCTCAGATATTTCTGTTAACATGCAAACTCTTAATTTCATGCTTATGTTTTACCTTCAATTTCCCTATATATATTCACTATTCCTACTCTTCTAAGTGATACACTGTATTCGTCTTGCATCATTTTCCAAATTTATTGAACCCCTGCACTCCATATTATACTCAATCTATCACTACTTGTACTAAATTGATACTGAATTTCTCTTTATTTCTAATCATAACAAAAACTTCTACATTCCTATCACACAATAGACAATATCCCTCATTTCATAACAATAACTTAATAACCAAATTCCCTCATTTCATAATAAAGTACAGTACAGTACTACATTAATTTAAAAAATAAAAAAGAAATATCTGTAAAAATTAAGTTCTACTGTTATTAACTGAACTAGTAACATGAATGATTTAATAATTAAATTGCAAAATACTCAAGCATGATTCTAACTCTAAATAAAGGACTGAATATACAGTAACAAGTCATATGATTTATGTTTCAAAGCAACCTGTACCTCAGCAAACATGAGATGCACAATGAACATCTTGCCCTCATAGTTCAACTTCTGGACATCTGCCCAACGAAAGTGATGTGTCTTGCGGGAGCCCTGAAACGTCAAGACTCCGGTGTGGTTTAGACCAAGATAAAGTTGACTTCCCCGATGATCCTGGTAATGGCAAGTTTTTCAATTAAAATTTAAAAGTAAACCATATAATGCACAAATTTATATATACATGTGTGTGTGTGTCTGTGTAAAAGCAACTCACCTTTCAATGAAAATCTTTGATTAGTCAAAAGTAATGAATCATAAACTGTACCACTTCATATTGGTTTGAATGGTCATGAAGTAAGATGATGTACTATAGTACTGTATTTCAAGCATGAAAATTTATACTTTCAGCCTAAAATAGAGGACAAGACTTTTGTGACTTGTTTTGAATTCCTAATTGACAAAGTCTGTATTGGACTGATGATATCTAATCAATAATCATTAACTAGAAAAGATATGGGTGTGCAGCCTTGCTTAAAACAAAATGAGTCTGATCAGCATTTTGCATGCTGTTCCAAATGAGAGATCTAAACTTTTATTTTTAGTTCATAGCTTGCATCTTATCATCTAATAAACCTACATTGCATCTACTTCATAATGGCATTTACTAAGGCATACTGGAAATAAACACTGATACTGTAAAAGGAGCATGAACTGCTTAAGTATTTTCCTACAGATCTACTGCACCCATATTAAAGACTTTATTATAGCCTACAATATTACCTCACGATCTTCAATCCAAACCTATCAAAGTTGAATAAATGAACAATCATTTGGATGAAAAAGTATGAAAATTAAGATAACTATACAAATGAGGGATTGATCCTGAAATCCCAGTGGAATTTGAGAATTAGTTTTTGCTTTCCAGTCATATCCAGGGACTGTATTGAAAAAAGAAAAAGACCTGATAGATAAAGCAATTACCATTAACAGCTGAAAATAGTGTCTGTCAGTCACACAAACACTATTGCACTCTATGATCCTTACTGGCATGGCCACACTGTGCCATTGTAAGGTCAACCACATCAGTTCCAGCTAACCTAAACAGCCCTAAGAGGGAGGCAAGAGGGAATCTACATCATCTGATAAAAGCACTGTTATGAATGAAATTTTGGGATTTCAGGATTGATACTTCACTTACAGCCTCATGCCTGGCTCAGGCAACTCAATGTCTAAAAGCTAGCTAGAAGGGGAAGAAATAGACAACTACACTATATTTTAAGTTCCAAGTGTTAATGTAACTACTGTATGCACCCCAAAATAGGAACAAGATTACTACCCAATGAACATACTATACTGTATGTCTCTAGGTGCCACACTGTCCAAAGTTGTAGTGGAATCCCGAAAAAAGACTCGCATGTCTCGGCTGCCTTCTGAAGGACATACATTACAGATAGCTCTTGTGGGAATAATGTAATAACCTACAGATTGCATGCACAAGATACTCAACTTGGCTGAGAACCTAATAGCCTTATTATGTTTTTAGTTACAGAATCTAGTAGCTACACACAATGAACAGTGATATACAGCAAATTCAAGGATTATTGACTTAACCCTTTCAGTGCAATCACTGTGACAAATGGTGGTTGGTAGGAATGCTGTCACCATGTAACACATTATGGGTTGTTGGTTTTTTTACTCTTCAAACACCTTTTGCATATTTGATATTAAAAAAAAATAAGTCAATGAAATACAAAAAAATTACAGATATTTTCTTCAGATGTAAAATTGACAATATCTTTAAAGAAACTACTAAGGAGTGTATGTAATGCAGTGTTACTTGTTTAAAATTCATCATTCTATAAGAAAAGAGAAAATCACTACTGTATATGACTAAACTATGACAAAAAATTAAATCAAATTAAGAGATTTCAAATATTTAGCTTATAAATTACTAAAATCTTATGAAGGATACAATACAAATGTTGCAGCACAGTAAAGGGCTTGTTAACCAAAAATCTATTTTACAAAATAATTTACAGTATAATAAATATGAATTTTAAGAGCATAGATTTTTCTTAATTTTCCACTCACAGAAAATTAGTACCGTATATCACGGCCTATAAGACGGAAATTGAACCTTACAAAAATCAGCCCAAAATTAGGGGTCGTCTTAAATACCAGGTATAAAATTCTTACCTCTTACATATTGTGGTTTAGCGTGTCAAGAGTGGTGATGGAGAATATCGTAAAACACTCACACTGTCCTACCACTAATTATTTTATACTGAAACTTATGTTAGGGAAGCTGGATTAAAAATAAGATTACCGGTATATTAAAATAATAAAAATGTATTATAAACCTAACATACCGTAAAATAACAACATACCCCGGTAATAAACGCATGTATGTTGTGTTGTTAAAGTAAGAGAAACAATTGAAACTGCAATTGTGTGTAAATGAGGCAGAAAGTCAGATCAGCAACCTGGGACTTGGTCACAATTTTCGCGATGCCATATAGAAGCAGGGTCTACCATTAGACAATACATTAGGCTTTCAATATCTTCCCAGGAGGTAGTATCTCCCTGTTTGGTAGCTGCCTACATAACTTTTAGTAATATTACTTTGATACAACATGATAAATTAGACAAACAATGAAAATAAACAAACAAAATTTAATTACCAAGATGCTTCCCATTGGCCACTGTAAGAGGGGGAGATAGAGCTATTTTTTAGCCCGTCTTTGTGTCCCAAGTGGCCAGTAATACATACCGGTATATTTACTGATCATAATACTTATCTCCTATAAATAATTCATTTAAAATTCATTTTTTTACAAAGAATATTCAGTAAATGACTGCGATAATTCTTGAAACTACCGACAGTGGTAGTTTTCTTCATGCTAAATTTAGGATGAGAATGAAGAAGCCGAAGTCACGTCATCTGATTCGGAGTTTGATCCTTAATGATGATGCAACCAAAAATGTATCAGGTAAACTTCACCTACCGGGTATAGCCTCCCTTTGTCAGGAAGCAGGTTTATAAATTAAAGAAAATACTTGCAGTGTGTTTAATATATTACAGTATATTATAAATAAATAAATAAACAAATAAATCGGTAAATCCATTTCAAGTAAATGAAAAAATTTTACTTGACACCGACATTAGTTCCAGTTAAATAACAGATGCTTAAGTGACGTCATTAGTGTTTACACTACACCAGCCGGTAACATTTGATGCCATTGCTTGAAGTGAATTGGTCTTATTTTAAATAACCAAGGATGTGTAAACAGCACTGGTCAGTGGGATGGTTGGTAAAGGACTACTGGGTCAGTAAGCTCCCAATGGCAAGTGTCACATTTGAGGTACCGGTCTTATACAGCAAATAGAGCTCAAAACCTACTTTTTAAATGGAAATTTTGGGGGTCGTCTTATACACCCCGTAGCCTTTTAGGCCGAGATATATGGTAAATGAGATTAAATTTGATAATCAGGCAACTGGCTTAGTGACTGCGTGAGTGGGGGTGTGAGTGATGAGTCTACTTTTTTTTTAAGAGGATTAGCCCACCTGGGCACAGGTCACCAACCCACATAGGGGCCTGAGGTGGGGGGAAAAAAGCATAAATAAATTGCACCATAAATAAATACAGAAATGGAAAAAAAAATCAGATCAAGAGTGAGATACAGTCTACTGTACTGTATATGCTGTGTTGCCAAAGTAAAAGAAACAATTGCGACCCTGCACTTGTGTGTAAATGAGGCATAAAGTCAGTCAGATCAGCAACCTGGGACTTGGGTCACAATTTCTGTGATGCCATATAGCAGCAGGGTCTACCATTAGACAACACATTATGCTTCAAATAATGACAGTTTTCTGAGAGCCTAAACTACGTATCTCATCTCGCATGGACAAACACTCTCCCATTACATTTAGACTGCGGGCAAGAGCAAAAATATTAACGGTTAGCACAAAAGTGTTTATTCACAGCATCTGTTCTAATAGTGTAGGAGAGATGAATTTAGTACCATAATGATCCTCAATAAATTCTTTTCCATAATAGATCCTTAAACAAAATATTTAAAAATTATATAATGCTGGGAACTAAAAAAAAAATTAAAGAAATATTGGTACCTGTACCAGCAATGATGTCTATGCAACGCCCTCAAAAAAGAATATATTGTACTGTACAGTACAGTCATCCCTTGGTTATCACGCCTAATTGGGACCGCGCCGAGTGCGTGATAACGAAAAACGTGACAGTGAAAGTACAGAACCTATGTGATTTATTCTAATTGGTTCCACGCAACCAAGACCCAACCCCAATTTTCCCATTTTACGACCATTTAGACCCACTAAATATATAGATAATGTTATGGTAAGTATTAGAAACACACATAAGCATGGCTAGGTTTATTACAAAGTGGTGAAAAGGGTACGCTCAATACTGTAGTCCACAAAACATGTAGCTATGCTTTCTTTATTTGAGTCCCCCATCTGAGGAGTACGTTTTCTCATCGCTTCAGGACGCCTGAGTCCTCCGTTTTCTCTCAATCTTAAAGTGCACCCGAGACTTCGTTATTCCTTAGTAATGACACAGACTTTGAAATTGCAACAGGGGTTGCAATTGTTGAGGCAACTTTGATATGTCTGATTACAGCAAATGTGTTACTGTCAATTTGTAAGTGAAAGATTTTATCCTCAATAGATGTAGGTGAAGCAAGGGGGTAACAATACACCTGGAGGCAACTGCCTGATAACGAAATTCTCGGCCTGAAAAATGCGCTATAACAGCAGGTGTGCAGATTTTGATGGAGGTGTGATAATGAAAATCGGGATAACCAAAGGGTAACTGTATACTGTATGGATAAATCACTAGTTGATAGAAGACTGCAGTATATCAACTCTGAAAAGTTCCACACACAGACTGAAAACCCAGAACCAAACCAACTGTGCATCTAATGAACAACTAGTCCTCTAAGGAAAGGTGTTCCTCTGGCCTTATGTTAAGAGTGTTAGTGAACATAAACACTTACAATATAAAAAAAAAAGTAAATAATTCTCATCTTTACACAACACAATATGGCACAGCCCTGTGTAGAAACTCCTGAACATACATGTCAATAGGTCAAATGCACTTAGCTTCTCCACAAATTAGTGTAGCCAGGAACAGTTGTTGCTCATTAAGAGATCACCGTTCGTTGTATAGGATCATTCTGCTTCGTGCTCCATGGCAGAGATGAAAGGTGAAGGAGCAGGCACATGTACTGAACTCATGACTCATTACCTCCCTGCCTTTAAAGGCAACTTCAGCTTCTCAGACCCACTTTTAAGAGAGAGTGCTGTCATAGGGGAGCTGTACTGAGCATCAGATTAGCCCTAGACAGTTTAGTTTAGGGCTCCCCTGAGTTCAAGAACCCCTAGCATTAGCAGGCATATTACTTGATGGATGTTTAATATGAATTAATGGTATATGCAATAAGCTGCAAAACTAAGGCAAAGAGATATATGCCAGAAGGTGTACGTAATTAAGATACGGCAAGCAAATTGTAAATTCAAACAGGCATACACTGTAAACTCTCTATACCACAACACTTTAAGAGAGATGCTGCTGTATTGGAAGATATTTTTTGTAGCATCAAACACAGTTGTTGAGTCATTTCCTTTAATAAACTTAAGAAAGCACAGTTTTGTATTTATTTCATCATGATAATTATATTGTTGTATATTAATATCCACCTTATCCAAAATTAAGGCATTACTTTCTATCAGTTCTGCAGTGTATAATATAATCTGAATTTACTTTGAAGAAAGTACAATAAAGGAATATTTTTCATTAGAAAAAATCCTTACATAAAACACTTGAGTTTGTGCCTAGCTGGGATATTGTGAGGGAACTAGGAAAACACACAGTGGACTATGTCTAACCTTAGGAGGCCATGCTGTAAATTAAAAGAAGGCACAGGCATAAACTACGTATCTTGTATTACTAAGATACCACAAAACCAGTTCAAAATACTGTAAGTAAAAACAGGGTTCATATCCGTCATATGCATAAAACTACTGCCTCGGTAAGCCTTTAGCTTTTATCCGTATCTGAGCATACAACTAGGCATTATTAACTTCTACATTAAAAAACACTTAGAAACAAGAAAATTTTCAGAATACTGTATTATACAGTACATCTAAATCATCCTTACTACTTTTAATATTTACAAACAATAAAATACATTTTAGATTCTTTTGAAACTGTGTGATGGACAAGAGGAGGTGTACATAACAGTGTTGTCTGGAGGGTGATACAACTGACAAGTTAGCCGTCCTCAAGCTAAGCCTTGCCTAGTACAGTACACCATGGATGAAAAAATAACAGAGAAAGACTTTAATTACTGTATAATCACATTTTCTTGTAAAGATTATCCATCAGTACAAATTTGCCTCCTTTAATAGGGATCCAGTTAAAATGTACTTCACAAAAATCATTAAATACTGTAACTTGCTTAACTAAGTGCAATCTTACTGGTCACAAAGTTCTCAACGCCTAATTATATAAAAAAAATGTAAAAGTAAGAAAATGATTTAGATCTTGTTATATCTTTATAAAGGCAAAAACAAAAAGTAATAATAAAAAATTGTAATTCAATATACAAAGCAATAAACCACTATATAAAAAAACATCATACAGTAATAATAATTTGCAGAAAAGTGCTTATAAATCTAAAAGATAAGCCACTTATAAGAAGCTTCATAACTACTTAAATAATCTGCTGCACAGCTACAGTAATCAAAATGGTATTAGTATTAATTTTGTAAGAGATACCTACTGTATCAATCTCCTGATAATTTGCATGGGTAGATGAGATAGGAAAAGAGAAAAAGGCAGTTTTACCTATTTTTTCTCTATGAAAATATACAGTAATTTTATAACACATTAAGAAGTTATACAGTATAGTCAGGTTTTACGCAGTTAATTAAACCCATGGAAGTCCGCTTATAAAGCGAAAAGCGTAAATAAAATAACAGAACCTATGGGATTAATTGAAATAGAGACTGGGCCGACTGCCAGACTCACCTTTTTTTGGCTATCGCCGACACAATACTGTACATTGTAGTAAAAACAACATCTTAATTTTATGATGGTGGTTCAGGGCCTCTCGGGGGTGGTGGGGGTCCAGCGGAAGCCATTGTGTAGAAAGAAAAAAAAGCACTGGTTCCTGGGCACGAGTGAATATACGTGGAGACAGTGAGACTAGCGCAGCGGCGGAGAGCGTGGGTGGCGGGGGTGGCAAGGATGCCTAGACCAATCACAGCGCGCGGCAAAAGGGGTGCGTGGGTGGTAAGGAAACGTGGTCCAATCACAGTCTGCGACATCACCGGCGCGAGTCTGATGTCAGCGCCCAGCACCTCGCCTCGCTGCTTGCCGCATACATGATGAAATTTACTGTGTAAGTAATAATTATCTCTTCTGACAGGTGCCGTGTAAATGGCCTTCCGCGTAAAACCAGACTATACTGTAATGTCAAATTCAAATTTTGCTGGCATTAATAGCTAAGTAACTTGGCCAAAATATTTTAAAAATCTAAAGAAAATATTTACTTGAGGCCTGTATTAAAATACTCTTATCAAATAAATATAGAGACATCTGGTTAAATTAATTATATTCATCATCTAAATTCCATTTCAAGTCATCTCTGTAAGTACAGTATGATGAAAAACTCCCATATACAAGAGTAGGCAGCTAGTTGAACTCTAAAACTAACAGTGATACTAACACCAACACTTCATACACACACCACCTTCATGTAATACTCATCTCAACACTGCATACATTGTAAGCAACACAAACATCAACTTAGTCCTGTACATAAGAATCCAGTCAGAAGGCAGATTTCTCTTTTCCTGTTAGTGTAACATATGTGCTCTGCTATGGTCTTCCCCTTCCACAACACAGCACCAAGATTTCCGAGTGGTTTATCCCCACTGCTTCACATAACCCAGCCTCATCCGTCACTTTTTCCCAAGGCTTTTCCTGCTAAAATCAAGAGCAAATGCACACATACACTCTCCTACCATATGTTCATTCTTACTGTTGTAATACATGTGTTTTGCTCTGGTACTCCCTGTCACTTCACACAACCTAGTATTTCCCATCAGCAGGACTATCCTTCACCAAAAATCATTTGAAATGAAGCCTTTGCTCATTCATGCACACACATAGAGGTTATATTTAATCCAACTGTATGTGACAGTAAAAACAAATCAAGGAAATGTTATGATATCAAACACTTGCTCTTGGTTAAATGGCTTCAGAAATAAAATACAGTGGGCCCTCAACTTAAGCAGGAAGTAATGTTTATGGAAAACCTTTTCTATACAGTACAGGTATAAAGTTTGCTCAAGACACTTAATTTCTTATGAGAAAAAGAGGTTGCGTTCCTGAACTTCCCAGATCTATAAAACGTGTTACCACTCCCTACTACCCCACCTTTCACAAATATTTACAGTATATAGTATATTTTTTAATGGTATGACACTTATACATTATTCAAACCCATTCATTATTACACAATAAAAGGGGTCCCCAGGTTACGAACTAGTTCCTTTCCTAAGGACGTTCTTAAGTCGGAAATGTACCTAAGTCGGAACACATACCAATGTACACTATATCATAGCCTAAGTCCTTTTATACATCTCGAATCACTTAATTTAAGAAAAGAAGGATTAATTGAATGTCAAAATACAGTGAAGCAAACTAAAAATTAAAGTTTAACTCTTACATTGAAACCTGGGACTCGCTTGTATGTAGACATGGGCATTTGTAGGAGTGACAGAGGCTATATTGGGATGGTTAAACTGAAACTTTCTCCTTTTTGTCATAAATCTCTTTCATTAATATCTCCATGAACCTTGGTGAATCTTGCTGTGTTGGTATCTTGCAATTCAAATTTAAACAATCCTTCTTCAATCAGCCTGAAACCATCTGCCATTTCTTTTGTAATGAATCACTTTGGTTCTGGGGTCTCAGCTTCCTCTACAGCCTCTGACAAAATTTACTTCTGCAGTTCAATCAGGTCATCATTGCTTAATTCTTCAGCATGAGACTAAAGCAACTGTGTGACATCATCCTCACGAATACCAAGCTGGAGTTAGTTTCCAAGGTCTAACACTGTCTGTATCACTTCCCCAACATCATTTTCAAAGCCCCTGAAATCGTGGACAAACTGGGCAGTTTTTTTCCAAACACCATTTGCCCTTATCTTGAACTGATTAAACCTGCCCCTACTAGCAACAAAATCTTCTCCATCACTTTCACCACCACGTCTAGCCTCCAAGCCAGCGTGCAAGCTTCTCGCTTTTTCCTAAATCAAGGCTAGACTTAAAGGCAGACGCTGTTGATTTTGATCTTCCACCCATATCACTAACAATATTTCCCCTTTAATTAACAATCTACTTCTTTGTTTTGTCATCACAGTTGAGTACATTGATGTAGATCCTTTTGCATATTCAAGAATTTTCTGTTTGTCTTTCAAAATTGTTCCGACCACTGACCGACTGAAGCCCAACGCTTTACCAATGACTGAGGGTGTTTTGCCATTTTCAGAACGTTTAATTACATCAACTTTCACTTCCATTGTAATAGTTTTTCCTTTTCTTGGATGCACTACTATCACTTGCATCAGGTTTGCATTTGGGAGCCATGATGAGGGCAGAAAAAGAGAGTTAAAAAGCGAAAAACAACAGTTTGCACTTGATCACGTACAATGAAAGACAAAAGTCGTGTCGTAAAATTTGGTGAAAACATATGCTGAAGGGCTAAACTTTTAGTGCACTCTGCCTTGTGGTAGGGGGCTCTCATAATGTTTCACGAGTTATATTTAATCTTCGGACAAAACTGCGACATGATTTTTGTCTTTGACTGTACACTAATGTGGCGAGGGTAAAGCTTACTGACGCTCCCTCAAGGCGTGTGGCTGGGCAACACATCACTCCCCACCCACTCCTCCGCCTTGCCACTACACCACGTAAACTAGTTCTCGTACGTAAATACTACGAACCAGTTGTACTTAAATAATCGACCTTATGGGACCTCATTCGTATCGGCGGGTGTACGTAAGTTGGGGACCCCCTGTACTGTATACATTATATTTAACAGAAATATATGACTAATAAACATAAGTGAAAAACATACTGTATTCATTTAACCTGACTTACACAGCTACACAGCGAGTGGTTTATTTATAAAAACTAAACAAATCTATATTTCTCGATGTGGGCTAATTTTTTCATAATTTATATATATTGTAGTACTATGTTTTTGTACAATACCCATTCGTTACTGCTGCAAGACTGTTTCCAGATGTGTAATGAAGAATGAGGTTGTTACAAATGGCCCAGAGCGTAATAAAAACAGTAAAGTTATGTCAATGTTTTGCACAAAGATTGAAGGAATAATAATCAATTTTAGGAAAAAAAGACTTCCCATCCATTTATATGAATATGTCAGTGTACCCCTTAGACATAGGTGTGTGAACAATACAGCTTGCAGCCCACCTCATAGTTCCAACATACTGTACATGTAGGGCAGTATTTTGTTATCTATTATACCTATTAAAGATTTAATACACAATAATTAATTAATTAGAATAAGATTATTTTTACCAATGATGCAAATGACTTGAATATTCTTCTGCTTTTATGACTAAATAAACTATGTATACAGTAGTAAAGTAGAGAGCCCACTATGTAAATATTAGTACTGTACAGGTATAATGGTATAGAATCTTGATGCCTTCTCCAGATGGCCACAGTTTAGTATACTATCTGTATTTATTTTCTGGCCAATGCATATGCTGGAGTAACGACTCTTAACTGTGACTTTTAGTACCACAACTCACATTATAGATAAAAAGTCTCATATTTAACATTTTGGGGTCTAAAAACATATGATGTATTATGCAAAGATCACAGAGACAGAATTCAAGCAAATTGAAGGTTTACTGTACTATTGAAATCTACACATTTACTTTTGAGACATTTTTAATTCCTGTTACCTGAAGTAATATAAACCTTAAAAGTTGTCCATTATATCAATAACTATTATAAAGTTAAATAAGCTTAGAATTATAAAGTTTTAAGGCAAAAAACAAACAAACACTGATGGGCACTGAATTCATGAAAGAAAGAAAAATTTGAGAAACAATTGGAGTGAAATATCACACAAATTGATCACAATTGTTTTTAAAATAAATCATTAAGATACAACCCTACGAATATACCTGTATACACCATATGATTGCATGATATTTGATAAGACAACATCCTGAAACATAGAAGAGTAAAAGCAAGATATGAAAAGTATAATATATTCTGTATAACTGATAATACCGATACTGATGAATTAGGTGAGGAGTAGAGAGAAACGAGTAAAAAAGATTAGAAATTGAAGAGCATAAAAAAACATACAATAAGGGCTGACTGAAAAAATCAAATTTTGTGGTTTTATTCTCTTGTCTTCGAGAAAGATAATGACTGACTAACCACAAGAATTGTATGGTTCACGACCTTCTACAAATCCCTCAATATTAAACAGACTACCAAGGGGTGACTGCCCCTATGAATCTCCAAGTGTTGGCAAGTGTAAATGAAGTTATGCCAGCCTTTCTAACCAGAAACAAAGCTTTTTAAGTACGACTGCTTTTCAGACTGAGAATAATTTATGTGATTGAAGACTATAAAGGGTCTTTATGTTTTTGTTTTATTACGGGGAATAGCTCACCCGGGCACAGATCATCGACCCACAATGGGGACTACTGGGGAGCAAAAAAATAAGAGAAAAAAAAAAATAAAAATAGAAAAGAAAATGATTACTGTATATTAATCTACACCACGAAGGAGCCGGAAAACCATCTTTTTGAAGTGAGACAGATTGTATGAGTATGGAAACACAAGAAGGCAGAGCATTCCACAGTTTGGCTTTGAGGAAAGAAGGTTATTCTAGCGTGACCGACATCCACAGAGAAAAGGTGGGCCACGTGGGCAAGACAAGTGTTAAGAGCCAGTGGTACACAGGATGCCAAATCCACTGAACATTGCCCGTTAAAGTACCTGTAAAAGAAAGAGAGTGAAGCAATATTGCGGCAAATAGAAAGGGAAGAAAGATTATTAAATAAAGAAGGAGAGTTAAGACAAAATGTCTTTGATTCCACCCTATCTAACAGTTGAACAGAAGAAGAGCCACCCAGATATGAGAGCAGTACTCCAAGTCAGGACGAATGAATCCCTTATATACTTGAAGCAACTGCTCAGGAGTGAAGTAGCTACGGCATCTGTACAGCATTCCCAGCTTTCAGGAGGCAGCTTTAGCAATGCTGAGGATGTGTGGCTTCCATGACATATTAGAGGAAATGGTGAGGCCTAGCATATCTATTGTAGAATTTGGCAGAATGATTGCATCCTGAAATGTGATTGGTGGGAGATCATCTAATTTTGAAAGTGAAATTGGTAAATACTATGTTTTACCACTATTGAATTTAACCAAGTTTCTATTTCCCCATTCGGTGATGCTGCACAGATCCGCATTGATAGATGTAATGATATCAGCTCTAGAAACAGATCTAGTTTGAGAATTAGGGGGAAGGGGAAATGTGAAGAAGAGTGAAGAGTAGAATCATCTGCGTAAGAATGGACAAAATTAGTTGTAGTGTTAAGTAAATCATTGATAAAAAGAAGGAAGAGAGTAGGTGAAAGAACAGAACCCTGTGGGACACCACTATTGGTAGAGAAAGAGCGAGAGATTGATCCCTCGACAACAACTCCCAAGGATCAGTTCTCAAGGAAGCTAGAAATTAGAGAACAAAGTGGGAGAGAGAGAAACCATGAGAGGGAAGTTTAGAAAGCAAAGACTTGTGCCATACCCTATCATATGCTTTGGAGATGTCGAGGGCCACGACGAAAGTTTCCCCATAATCCCTAAGTGAGGATGAACAAAAATGGGTGCAGTAGGAGAGCAGATCACCAGTAGATCTTGCTTGGCAAAACTCATACTGGTGATCCGACAAAAGAGAAAGGCGTTCCAGGTGACGGAGAAAATGAGAGTTCAGGACAGTTTCGAAAATCTTAGAGAGGAATGAAGTTAGGGCAATGGGATGATAGTTAGAGGGATTGGAATGGTTACCCTTCTTCGGGATGTATTGAACTAAGGCATGCTTCCAAGAAGAAGGATAAGTTTGGGTTTTGAGGCAAAGGCAAAAGAGGCAAGCAAGCACAGGGGCCAGAACTTCAGCACACTCCCTCAGAACACGAGGGGGTATTCCGTCTGGTCCATGCGCCTTACTCACATCCAACTTGGATAACACACCAGGAACCCTACGAGTGGAGATTATAGGAAAGTGCATAGGTTCAGCAGGAGGAGCAGAAGTAGGAGGGATAGAGTTGAAATCGTCTAAGGTAGAGTTAGAGGAGAATAAGGTGCCAAAGCAATTGGCTTTTTCAGGGGGAGAGTTGTCTATAGAGTTATCAGGTTGGAACAGAGGAGGCAAAGAGGGAGTGCAGAAGTTATTACAGATGTTTTTGGTTAAGGACCAGAAGGATTTTCTAGAAGAAGAATTAGTCAGGACAGTGGTCTTTCTTTTTAAAAAATTCCGCTTGGCCCTACGAAGAATAGCCTTACAACGATTCCTATAAGTAATGAAAGAGGAGTGGACAAGGAGATAGTTTCAAAACTTGATATGCCCTATATCTCTCCCCCTACATGCAAGAAAAAAGGAGCAATCAATCCATGATTGTAAAGTAAAATTTTTGGTAGAAGATGGGATAAATGCACTCATACCACCTTGTATAACCCCAGCAATGCTGTCAGCACATACCGAGGCATCCTGAGTGAGAAAAAGCAGCATTCATCTCAAGGAAAGTCAGAGAAGAATTCAAGCAAGGATTGCCAGTTTGCCCTCCGATAGTGCCATAGTTGGCGTTTAGAGGGGGACGGGGGAGGTGGTCGTGCCCAGCTCGATTTAATAGAAATAAAATTGTGATCAGAAGACCCTAAGGGAGCAGAAATTGAGTATGAGTAGTGTGAGGGGGTTAGAGGTAAAACAAAGATCAAGAATGTTAGTAAGTTGATCGTGTCAATCAGGAAAGCGTGTAGGGTGTTTAATTATTTGTTCCAGATCATTAAGTAAAGAAAAAGAGAGTGCCTCAGCTCCACCTGGATCATCCCTTGCAGAGCCAAGCCACTCTTTGTGATGTACATTGAAAACCACAAGTTGAGGATCTCGGTGTTGGGGTGTTTGGATAGCCATGACTTATGGCAAGAAGTAAGATACTCAAAGAGTTCTAAATAGTTTGTAGAGTTGGGAGAACAGTATAGAAAACAAGGAAAATAGTCATAGTTGGAATAAATATTTTGAGCCAGATGACATCATACAGGGAAGATTCAAGATCCGTGAGCCGAGCTATAAGTGTATGTGTGATGCAGTAGGAGCATACACCTCCCTTAGAATGGAAAGAGGTATAAAGGTTGTAGTTGGAGACTTGAAAAGGTTTGGGTGAAGCTGCTTTGGTCAGTTGAAGTTCAGATAGTAGTAAGAGGTCAGGGGAAGAGGTTAATAGATGGTGCTACACAAAATGAAAATTTGATCTCAGGCCGCGAATGTTGGAAAAATTAAGTGTAAAAAAAGCCGATCCTCCAGCAGCCGCGGTGAAGTCAGTTGAGGCCCCAGTAGTTTGATGATGATCAGGTCAGCCCTGGGGTCCACAACCTTCCCGACCAGTGGGACCCATCCGAGAAGGCCCCGCTTCAATATTATTGTCAACTGACATCATAGGAGAAAAAAAGAAAGAAGGAATAGAACATATCAGGAGTGAATACGTTTATAAATGTTGTGTTGTCAATAGTAAGAGAGACAATTGAGACCCTGCAATTGTACGTAAATGTGGCAGAAAGACAGATCAGCAACCTAGGACTTGGTCACAATTTTCGTGATGCCATATGGCAGCAGTGTCTACCATTAGATAATACATTATGCTTCCAATATCTTCCCAGGCGGTAGTACCTCCCTGTTTGGAAGCTGCCTACTACCTCAATAAACTTCTCTAAGTACTGTATTACCATTTCATGTGACTGCACAACCTGTACCCTAAACACAGAACATATAAACCACAAAAAAGACTTGAGTAACAAATTAACTATTTCAAGGCAAAAGTATGAAGAATGGAAGCTGAGGCATATTACAGAGAATTTATCTAATCAGTGTAGGAGATGAGCATTATGAAAGTCACAGTTGAAAAGGACACACAAACAAAGAAAGTTCTCAGAGGGATGACGCTTTGTGAATCAAATCATACAATAATGTGAAAGGAAAAATGGTAAAGTGAGATGTTGAGACAGAATGATCAGAAGAGGATGATAAAAATTATTTACATTTTCTTTTCCTTCTAAAATAATAAGAAAACTTTTTTATATAAATGGTTTAAGAGTAAATGTGGGGTCACCTACTTTTACAGGATGAGGATCAACACCATAAGTATCAAGGATGGAAGCTTTCTTGAGGAAACAGGTCTCTGCCATCAGTGGTGTATGATTCTTGAGGGTTGAGTGTAGCTCCATGATTTTCTCTTCAATCTTTGGCGTCTGCTTAAGTAGGATCTTAAAGTCACTAATGTAATTGCCATAATGTTTGGTTGGGTCATAATCACCAATCTCAGCTGCAACAAGACAAATTTATTCATAAGAATTTAATAATTTTTTGCATGCACTTCCATCCTTCTACTGTTCAAAGAAACACAAAAATCATAGTACAGCTTTCATGATGGGAAATGTAAAACAAGGCACTTACAATCATTTTCTTTAAATTAAGTGTTAATACTGCATGAACAGTGAAACTATATGAAGGACATAGTTAAAAGTTATAAATCTACAATGTGTCCTATGGTTAAAAATGATAATCCTAAAATATGTCATAGATAAAAATGAAAAATATATGTTGTTTCCTAAATTGGTAGTGAACACATATACTGCACAATAAATAATAAATAGTAATTAATTGCTCTTACAGTTTGTTCATGAGCCCAAGTAAAGATTATAATCTATTTTGTCATATCAAAGGTTGGGTTTCTTTTTCAGTCGTAACTGAAGGGCCTCTACTTTAATCTTCAATGCAAAGAATTTAAATAAATTTGGAGGACATCAAGTCATAAGTCAAGGCCTCCGATCAGGTTCAAAGTTAATCCTGTGCCATACAGTATATACTTGAGTATAGTTCGAGTTTTATGATCAAATTTTTAAGCAAAAATTATACATGTTTATTATTTTTGAGGTACAGTACATACTCACAGTAGGATAAACCATACCAGTGTCATGGGTTGTGTTAGGCTAACCCACGCAACCAACTCCAAAGTTTGTTTTACTAGAGATAAGGCACCCGGCGAGCCATGACTACGACATATATTTTCCATTAGTGGCATATTTGCCAGCCTATAGGGGGAGGCCATTGAGACAGTGCTGTACTGTTCATCGCCTCAAGCCCTAAAACCTCCTTTTGAGTAGTATCCCCTAGGCCATGGGCTAGTTAAGACGTCATCCCCATCCTCTCCCTCCTGAAGGGAACGGGACACCGCCACCCTGTCCTGTGGACCGTCGTCGACACGAGACTAAGTGTGTTAACCGAAGTTTGTTATCCCCGTGGAAATATCATGTGTGGAAGCCTGGTTGCGACAAAAGCAATCCAGGCTGGTCTATTGCACCTATGTGGTTAATCAAATCACACTTACCAGTTCTCCTTGCCACGACAACCGTCTACAGTGACTGCCAGTGACGTGAGACTATGTGTGGTAACCTTTTTTGTTGTTATTTCCCGTGGAAAGAAGTTCTTGTGCAGAAGCCAGGTTGCAACAAGAGCAATCCAGGTTGGCAGTAAATGTATCACTTGAATAATTAAGGCTCTGTTAAGTCATACCCATAGTAGAGTAATCACATGTGTCCCCAAGTTGAAAATTCCCTCTTTTAGAAGATTAATTTTATTGCAGCGAGAGCGTGAGTGACTCATATATCCATGCAAATTGTAAATCATTGTATGGAAGCTTGACAAGTAAATGTAAGTGCAATTATCTGCCCGTATCTGTGATCCTATCTTATTATTACTAAAGGTAATGACTGATTGGTTATGACAAAGATAACCAATAACTTAGATGGATGTTGGAAATTAATGGAACTCATTAAATCATCATTTATCAAGTATAAGCCATGGAATGTGGAGTGAACTTCTACGTAGGTACACCATAATCTCCTGTAAGTAACCAGTGTGAAGGTATCGCTACGGTAAGAAATATAAAAAGCACAATACAGTACTGTATATTAGAATCTCTACATAATAAAATCCATACTTAGACCACTACGACGAAAAACCATGACAACCAGAAAGCTCCTGCCTTAACCCTAGATTCTTTCTTTATGTTGCTACACGGAGAGCAGGACATCATTCACTATACAGTATATGCTGCTTTAAATCTACAAATACCTGATGCAAATGAAGATTTACTATTAAGTTGCTTTTCATTTGTGTCCGTTAACATCCCTGGTGGCATTGTTGCCCTCTCCCTACCAGGGAGTTGGTTATTTTTCAACTTGTAATTTAGGGTTAATATATGTGACTTCATTTTTTTATTGTGAATGTCGAAGCCAGGCAGCCAGCATTCCTAAGACTGCAACACAATGTGTACACAATCTTGTGTAATTATTGTTTTTTTCTATGCTTTCATTATTACTATTTATATGCTTTTACAATTATTGCTTATATATGCAAACGATATAAGCTTTGATGTTAGAGTGTACAATAAAAGCTACTTTTAGGTGAACCTAGTGAAATTTATAAATAGGAGTTGGAAACTAGCAGGAATTCAGTTTCAGTAATGGTAACACTGTTCACAGCATCAGGTACTGTGGAGGTAATGGAAGTCAAGGCAAGTTGGTGCCTTGCTACAAATTATGTCTATGATTATACCTAGTATTTCTCTAAAGTTAAGGCCGAAGTATACACGACGTATATGAAAAATTCATATTTTTTTACCCCAAAAATGAGGGTTCGGATACATATGAGATAGACTTATACACGAGTAAAATATACTGAAGTCATCACTGTAAACACTAACATTTTGACAGAAGTGCAAATGGTGGTTAGGTATGGAGTCATAAAAAATAGTATCAATTAGCAGTGAAATCAAAGATAAATGTCATAGTTCAAGGAAAAACTCCCAACTTTTAAGATAAAATATTCCCAAACTGGACAAAAAATTTTGACAAAATATAACATGTAGGTTGGACTCTGAATAAATAACTTATTAATTTTTGAAAAAAGTGAAGTACTGTATAGCACAGTGCGTAAAGTTCAAAGATATCTGTGTGTATAAGTAAACAAAACATCTCAAATACTGTAGGCATGTGGCCTTTGATGAAGCTTATAAGAGGGTACAGCATTGGGTGTTTGGCAAAATTTGAACTAATTTTGTAGATGCATGTCAAAGCTAAAGGTCAAAAGCTGATGGTAAAGGTCTACACATGGTGCAAAATATTGATCTGGTCTTTTGTTCTCTTTTTTTTTTGAGGGGAGGGGGGGTGCAAAGTCATCATCAATGTTTTACAGTCATTTCCCACACTTTCATGAATTAGCTGCAAATATTTGATGGCAACTGTTGGGTAAAACCAGAATGAGGTGTCCTCCACCACCGCAAACCCCTGGGTGCTAGCCCAGAAAATGCAGCAGAGACCCAGTTGCCATCAAGCGTGTTAAAAAAAAAATCAAGGGTGGAGTCCTTCCTAACACCAACCCACGAGGTAGGAACAGCTGGTAAGGCAGGGTCATAACTCCCTGAGATAATCAAAGACTCAAATTAATGTCATACCAAGCACCATGTCCCAGTTGGCATCTGTACTCCGTATTTCTCACTGCACTTTCCATTACAGTACTTACAAAATTACTTTAAAATCGAACATTTATTTTTCAAACAATTATTTCTTGTTGAAAACTCTCTCTAACCTTGTACAATATAAGCAGCAAGCATAGCAGCATCAGCCTGGGAGCAGTACAGCCTTCCATGTAAAAGATCTCGTCGAAGTTGAAGAAAGAGCTGATAACGAGTGATCTCCTCTTGAAGTCTAAGAGGATCCGCAGGATAGAACTTGACACGGAAACAAAACAGGATTGGTGATAGATCTGTATAAAGATAACCATAAATTAAAAAAAAAAGAAAGATAAAAGACATTTTCTCCAGCATTATAACTACAACTTCCACAAACAAAATTTATACAGGTTGAAACTCTATTGTCCGGCACCCTTGAGACCTGACCGATACTGGACCACAGAAATTGCCCCAAGAACCTCTATACCACTCACATAACTGAGCGCTAATGCCATTGTTACATGTTAAATAACCACGGAATTGGTGGAAAAGTCATTTCCATGTGCTAGTGCGCCTTATGAATAAAGAAATTCAGTATGTACAGTAGAACGTCGAATTAAAGCGATTCAATTTAAGATTATTGATTTAAAGTGACACCCATAATTAAGGACAATGTTTTAATTTAAAGCAAATCTTTCCTATTTTGCACGAGTCAATCTGGCGCATCATATTTAAAATTCGCGCCCAATGTTTCACTGGGCACGCTACACTGTCCTAAGGGCAAAGCTGTACTGTACATGTACTCAAATTAATGTACTAAATGATTATTAAAATTTTTGCCTAGTGCAAACTATAGTATAATTATATTCAAATTAATCACGATCTTATAAGAATTCCAGCACTGTAATTTTCCCCGGTCACTTCTGTGACATTTTATAAGCAAAAAACATAAACTCAAGCTAAAGGACATAAATAAACAAATAAATACTTCACTAGAACTTCCGTGCCAACTGTCAAACATGTCACTGTCACTCCCTTCCCCCCACCCATCCTCCCAGCCAGGGTTTGGTGTTGTAGGCTTAAAGTTTTTATCTTATATAATGTCACAGACTAAAGTTAGGAGAATATAATTTGTATTGCTGGAATCCTTGCAAGACGGCAAATAATTTGAATATAAACGTCATATATTTTGCACGAGATAAAAATTTTTGCTCTTTGCAATAAAATTCTTAAATTAGAACTAAAATTTGTATGTCTAATGCAAGCTATAGCATGTTTATATTTAAATTAATAACTATCTTTTAAGAATTCCAGCAATGTTAATTATATTCTTCCATATCAGTTCAGTGACATTTTATAAGAGAAAAGCTTTAAGTCACTCTTAAGGACAGATAAATAAATAAACACTAGACCTTGGCATCAACTGTCAAACATATCACCCCCAGATTCACAACATGCCAGACAGCAAAAGTTTCCCGAGCAGAGAGTTTCAACCTGTACTGCATTAATAAGTTATAAATGCAAAATAGAAAAAGATAATACTGTACCTGTAATATAATAGTATACCCAGTAAATGGCTACCGTCAGATCTTCTAAATAAAAATTTTGTAACCTTATGCAAACCAAAATCCTGAAGGGTCAGTAAATTCCTTTGTTCCTGAACATTTTTTTTATATAGAACAAATTTATCATTGTTACTTCATTATCGTACTTTAATGGTATATTTGCAACCGTGACTTCTATACAGAATAACATATAGAATATGACTTACTCTTTATTTGTCTTAGGATGTTCTTGTTAGGATCTAACCAGTGCTGAAATAAACCCAATTCCATTAGGAACACAAATGATCTTTCCAGTATTAATAATTAATACAGTATACTTCAATCTTATATTACTATTAAATTCATGGATTAATTCAGAAAATTTAAAAAAAAGTGTATTGTATCACATAATTATTACAGTAATAACATTATAGATATTGGAAAAATTTCTGAACCAAATGTTTTATATGTTTATGTTTTGTGTTTACCTAGCTATTTTTCAATCTTGTTTCATCTGCACAAGCGAGTTTTCTGTAATACTGTACCTTTATTTTTTCATTTTTAAGCCCTTAAACATCTGAGAAGTAAAGTTTGTTTTTTCATAGTCTATGAGCGCCTAAATTACACATCTCATCTCGCATAGACAAACACTCTCCCATTACATTTGGACTGCGGGCACGAGCAAAAAATATTTACAACTAGCGAAAAAGTGTATAAACGTTTATTCACAGCGTGTTCTAATTGTGTAGGACAGATGAATTTGCTACCATAATGATCCTGAATAAAATCTCTGGAAGACTGTCTCAATAAACTTTTTTATTTTTACTTTTATCCTCTTCACCACCGATTGGCTTATTAACCGTTTGGGCAATCAGGTCACGTCTCTGTTATGCACAGTTGGCAGGTACTGGGCATGCACTGGCTCCTGAACTTATCTGAATCTGCTCCAGTGCTGGTCGAGTATGGCCTTCAAACAGCTCACACTCAGTACCGTCACAACACTCTCTGGCAGATTGTTCCACGAGTTCACAACTCTCAATCCGAAAAAGTTACCTCTCACAGTTTTCTGGACTCGCGACTTCTTCAACCTTGAGCTGTGACTCCCTGTGGGACGAGCGTCCACCAGCTCCAGGTAAGGACACTTAACTGAGTACTGTAGTGCCCTTTGAGATGTTTATACACCTCAATTAGGTCCCCCCTAGTCCATCTGTAGTATAATCTAGGCAATTGGAGGTACTCTAATGTCTCTGGGTAGCTGAGGTGCCAAAGTGCCGGCACCAGTCTGGTGGCACTCCTTTGGAAATTTTCAATCAACTGACAGTCCCTAGCATATCTTGGGGAATAGACAGGGTGACAGTACTCCAGCCGGGGAAGCACCTCACTCCTGAAGATTGGTACGAGGGATGGACTGTCGAGATATCTGAACGACCTTCTTATGAGACCTAATAGTTTAGTTGCTTGGTTCACCTTCTTCTCACAATGGCCCAAGAATTTCAATTCATTGTCAACATACACACCCGAGTCCTTTTTGCATTACGTCTCAATTAATGCAATTTCTTCATCCCATTGGGACATATATGATACATCTCCTTACCTTTGATACGTCCCAGGTGCAGCCTCTTACACTTCATGACAATGAATCTTAGCAGCCATTTCTTCGACCATTCTTGAAGCTCACAGAGATCTTTCTGCAGCTCATCACAGTCTGCTTGGTTCTTAATTTTCCTAAATAACTTGGCATCGTCTGCAAACATTTGTATGGAGGAGTGTACAACTTCTGGCATGTCATTTATGAAGCAAACAAATAACAGCGGGCCCAATACACTGCCCTGTGGCACCCAGCTTGTCACGGGTAGACATGATGATTTCGTGCCATTAATCACCACACACTGCTTGCTATCATTGAGAAAGTCTCCAATCCAAGCCAGGACAATTCCCTGAATCCCATACCCTTTCAAATTAATTTTTAGCCTCTCATGGGGTATGCTGTTGAAAGCCTTGGCAAAATCTAGGTACATATGTATTGTCGATATTTCCACCCTGTTCCAGAATTCAAACATCCAGTACTTGAGAAACTGTGTTAAGCAGGAGCATCCCGGCATAAAACCAAGTTGGTAATCCTTTACAAGGTTGTTTCATAGTAGATGTTCCATCATGGCATCTCTAATAATACTCTCAAGTACTTTAAATACTATGCTGGTCAGGTTCACTGGTCTCTAATTACTCGTGGAGTGTCGATTGCCCTTCTTGAAAATAGGACTCACATAAGCCATTTACCAAGCACTGGGGACCTTTTGCTCATCCAGGCATTTACAGAACAGGATCTTCAGGGCTCAGCAAGCTCGTTGCACAACTCTCTTAGCACTCTGGGATGCACCATGTCAGGGCCAGGACTCTTATGAACCTTTAGCTTTGACAATTTATTTATTATTATATCTTCTGAGAACACAATGTGGGTCAGCGCTGTGTCGAATCGTTTGTCCTCAAATGCAGGAAGATTGTTCGCATCCTCTCATGTGAACACCAAGGAAAAGAAACCTCAACGCTTCGGCTTTATCCTAGTCAGAATCTGCGTAACTACCATCTTCAATCCTCACATCTGATACTCCTACTCGCATTTTAAATTTCGACTTTAGGCTTGACTTGACCTCGCTTGCAATCAGCCTCTGGAACTCCTTTTCAGCCCTTCTACACTCTGACTTTGCTTGGTTTCTGGTTCTGGCATACATCTTCCTGTCCTGCTCATCGTTTGACCTAACCTACGTCTTGAATTTCTGGGTGTTCTTAACTTTGTTGACCGCCACATGGTTCTTGTGTAGCAGTCTCCTTGTATTGCTGGAGGCTGGATGGCCAGAGTGCTAACACGTTTTTTACGGAAACACGACACGACCCGCACGACTTCACTAGCTTAAACAAAATATTTTGACATGATATGATGACGAGACCTCAAATTAGTTATAGGTAACTGCACCAGTTTCTTACCAAAATAATCCTGAAAAGTTTATGTAAAAGTTTGGTTAAATAAATATATTTATAGAGAACCTATAAGATATGGGCTGTCAAATGAAGGAGTTTTTAAGGCATGAGGTTGCAAACAAATATATTTACAGCTAGCAATAAAGTGTACAGTACTGTACAGTACTCTAAATGATGTGACTAATCAGGCTACCTTAATAAAAGATAAAATTTGATTTTGAAAGCTGTTAAGTGACAACATTTGCTCCACTCTTACAGTGCCCCTTAAAAAGTATTGTACAATGAGAGAGAAGAAAATGCATTAACATACAGTATAACATAACGCAATACTTACTCTCTGTTTATTTTGGTCAACATAACGGAGGGCGAAGTAATCAGTTTCTATAAGGTTGAGCCTGCTAAATACGTAGTCAAGAAGAACCTTCCCTTTGTGATAACTCTGAAAAAAACAAACACTGAACAAACAAATCATTGTCATTAGTTTTTATTTTATGTTTTACATAGCACGGTTCATGGATTAGCACCTTATCAATGAGCAGGGACGGATCCAGGAATGTCAAAAGGGGCGTTCCAAGAAGTTGTGGGTGGGGGGAACATGGCGTGCACAGCGAGTCCACCCAGCTGGTGGGGCGCTGTATACCCCTCCCCCATTTTTTTTTAATCTGACCCATATATTATGGTCATTTTGAGGCCATGTGCACTTGATATTAGGGGATATTCTAATGTCAATAGTAGTTACTTTTTACCACTCAAAAATGACTGAGTATGATACTGCATTAAAGAAAAAAAATAAGAATTTCTGATGAAGGGGGGGAGGGGGTGTCCAGGACCTCCCATGATGAGGTGGATTAACCCACTAACTGCCATCTTGCACATGGCATTATCATACCATATACAGGGTATTTTTTTTTCTAGCGCTATTGTATAACAATGGATGTTAGCCTGATTTATTAAATACATATTGTCTTCTAATTTATTATATAGGGATTTAAAAAAAGATAGAATTGGCAGATTTTTCCATCTTGTTGCTTAACTAATGAAGTACAACTTCCTGTAATGTTTATCTTCATATTCAGAGAAGTACAGTATGTCTAAGGTGGTCAACTCTGGCACTTTTACAATATGACCAATGAGTTCAATTTTCTATAACACACTTAGGATAGGAGAGGCCAATTTTATTCATTTTTCATTCCTCAGTTGGAAATCTACCGTTTTTCTTTATGAATAAGGAAAACAATTACTTAGTACTGTACAATACACTGTATTGTACAGTACTGTAATTATAAATATGTTTACAGTATATGTATGCTTTTTATTTAAAGGCAAAAAATGAAGATGAATACACAATAGGAAAGGTACTTTCATTAAAGCTGGAGGGAAATTAAAAAAAAAAGTAACTTCACAAGATTATAAAACTTTTACTCTCAGTGCGTAGGCAGGATTATGAGTTAAACTGTGGTCTCACACCTCCATGAACTTAAAATGGCTGTATACAGTAATATGATATGTAAGGTTTCATTGTATTCCTGGAGCCAGTGGGTTTAGTCTTGGGGATATATTTATCAATCAAATATTTCACTTTATTAGCTATGATATTCAGTGAAGTGGTTGCATTCTTGATTTTGTGTGTCAGGCCAGTGAATTCCTCTCAACTCAAAAAGCATTACTCAATCAAATGTACATTAATTGCGATACCAGTTGGACATTAGAGGTCACAGTCTTCAAGTTAAAGAAGCTATCAGCACATAAAAACTAACTTCTTGCCTTAAGAATTGTGAACTCTTGGAATAAACTGCCAGAGAGTGCTGTGGTAACATCATGCGTGAGCTCATTTAAATTCCAGATATGATCAACAATGGAACTTTTCAGGAACGTATATTCAGGAAACTGTACCTGTCCAACACATGCCAAAAATATGTACCAGGTAACAGAGAAATGACCGACCATCTGGTAAGCTGATGTACCTGGTAAGTGGCAAAGGGGATGATTAACTACAGTAAATCACCATAAGTCATTCGAATCTGCAAATGTTAACCAGTTCACTGTAACCCATCCATAACCAAATATTTAACACTCCTTTTCAAACCTTTAGAACTCTATAAATTCTAACTTTTTTTATAATATCACGATGTTCCGCTACCACATTTACTTCTGAAGAAGTTAAACCAGCAAAATACAGTACAGTTCTGCACTAGGGGTCCGACTAATTACCCAAATGTAGCTGCAATGAAGTCAAATAATGGTCCTACATGAATAAATCGGACTGCCAATCACTTCTCGACTAGTATTTGGTGTCAGAAAGTCACAAAAAATTGGAAAACTTACTTTAATCTGAGTTAATAGATCGCGTGCATGTACCAAGGGAGCGAGTAATTGCCCAAATGTAGCCAAATGTAGCCGCAATGAAGTCAAATGATGGTTGTACAAGCGTAAATCGGGCTGTAAATCACTTCTCGATTATTATTTGGTGTCATAGTCACAAAAATTGGTAAACTTAATATAATCTGAGTTGTGTTAGGTTAGGTTAGGTACATGCACTTGATCTATTAACTCAGATTAAATTAAGTTTACCAATTTTTTGTGACTTATGACACCAAATAATAATCGAGAAGTGATTCACAGCCCGATTTATTCATGTAGGACCATTATTTGACTTCATTGCGGCTACATTTGGGTAATTAGTCAGACCGCTGCACTAGTACTGTACAGTACTCCTTATGGCGTACAGTGTGTTCAAGTACTGACAAATGCAATATCTACTTTACTTTTATATACAGCGATAGTCTTTAGTGGTCACCCCATTCATCAAAAACAAATAATTTATGTGGTGTGGAATTATGAAACATCCTTCAATACCTCCACAAGCCATTGCACGTCAAACTTCACTGGCTAATTTTCAACAAAAATAATTATACTATATACAGAAAACATAAAAATCCCTCACAGGTCAGTAATTAAGCAATGAGAAACACCCAATACAAATGTTTCCAGGCACTGGGCCACAACTCAGACCACCAGTTATAACACGGCATCCTTTTAACTTCACTCACTATCCATTTAACATACCTGAAATTCACATTCTAAAACCTCGTTATCATCTAGAAGACGTATTGTACACTTAGAGTCTATACCATGGTCTTTTCTGTTGCCTAACTTAAGCATATTTAAAGAGACACTCGCTCACGTCATCACACCTGACAGTCAACTCTTCCCTCTATCAGCAGACGACTTAACTTAGGCCACTCGTTCATTAATACCTTTAAACCATTTATATCCAATGTGTATTTAGTATATGAAAAATAATAATATCCAAAAAATATATAATTCATTCAAATCTTTACGTAAAATGGTAAAACATATAGTAAAATAATTTCCAGTTTGCTAAAAGGCCACAGCTAAATAACATATAATACTAAGGTATTTATTTGTAAAAGTTATGATAATCTACACCATTATAACGATCTAATTACCTCTGTTTTTAACCTATATATCAAAATATCATTAGATGGTTTAACTGGACAATTGGGAAGGTTTTTATTAATGGTTAAACAAAAGAGGAGGGAGCCATCAGGTGTGACCATCAGCCGGAGACGTGGAGTAAACTACACAATGAATAAGGTTCTAAAAGTAGCCTGGTAAGCCTTAATATAATACAAACCTCCGTAAACCAGTAAAGTCTTATGTGGTTTATATATATTAAGGTTGGGGAGAAGGTGGTGACTTCATGTTTTTCTTAAAGGATCTTCACTGATATACTAATATTATAGGATAAAATGCTGCTAATTGCTGAACCTGTAATGGGTCTAGTAAAGGGTAAATGGGGACTCACAAAAAAAACGGTAAATGTTTTTAATTACCCCCACTCCACTAGGACAACTAAATTATGTTTTCTGGTGGTTTTAGGCGAGTTTCAAACGATTATGACCTTCATCTCTATCGGTCGATACTCATCAAAAACCATCGTTAAAACATAATTTAGTTGTCTGAATTTAGCTTATCTAACAATGTTGTGGGACTCATGGGGAATTTTTTTTTTGGGGGGTGGCGAAACAGTTTGCCGTCAAAACCTAACCTAAGCGTTATCTCGGTAAACCTTTGTTTCCGACGAAAATGTCATCGAAGAAAAGTGTTTAAAATTGTATAAACTATAAGATATGTAAATAAAAAAAAAAAGTTAGGCAATTAAAAGCCCCCACCCCCCAGTTAAGTTTATATAGGTTAGGTTGGTTAGATAAGATCAAAAGCACCCAAAACACGTCAAAAACCGTTGAAAAAAAATATGGATGAGCGAAGCAATAATTTAAAATTTTTCAGTATAAAGGATTCCATTCCTGTCAACACCACCAGCTACTGAAGTAATCTTTGTATCTCCTAACTTGTACCATATATGATAACAAACCTAATGTGGATTATAATCTAGAATCACTTATTCATGGAAGGATAACTTTAGGAAAAAATAATATCGAAGAAATTGGATTTGGTTATGTTTAGTTTGGTGAGGTGAGGTTAGGTTAAGTTAGGTTAGGTTTCAACAATGATTTGGAAGTTGAAATTGTTATGAGAATAGATTTTTTTGTCTTTAGGCATGTTTTATTTAAATCTGACCATCATTTCATGTGTAAATGAGTGAATTGTTAAAAAAAAATATATACAGTATATATTTTTTTCTACAAAATTCGTTCATTTGTCCCCAAAAGAGGCCAGATTTTAATAAAACACATCGACACAAAAAAAACTATTCACATAACAATAAGGAGCCACAGCAATTAAATGAATATTTATCCCCCCCCCCCCATTTGAAGGTTAGGTCAGGTCATTTGCGAGGGAAACGTCATAGAAGAAAAGTGTCTTAGAATTATCTAAACTACCGATTCCAATACCGTTAAATGCCTAAGATTCCCCGGGTGACCGAAACCAAAACTTTTCTTAATTTTTTAAACATTTAGCACTTGCCATGCATAGAAATAACTTTTGAAAATACTGTATTTTTTTTTCTGTGTGTATTTCATTGTTTCTTATGAATTTAACCTTCATTTGCATCAGAATTGGGTAGTTATCAAGATATGACCCCCCCCCCTACACACAATTACCAACAATATTGGTTGCATAAAGTGGGCATGGCTTTGAGGTACTGTGGTAAAAACATGCAAAAAAACTGATACGAAACCTACCCAAAAACACCTGATGTAACCTCCTCCACCCCTAATGTGTAAAAACCTTACCTTAATTTATGGATGCATGAGGATAAAGTGATAGCACTTGAATAAAGAAGTAATGCAATTTGGTGTTGTGATTTATTTTATGTTCTTGGAACATCTACTGAGCAAAATATTGGCGGTATGTTATTTCCTGTTGCTCGTATGAAGCACCCAATCTTCACAGAGACACCATCTTGCAACTATGTACTGTACAGTACTGTAATTCGAATTTCATAGTTTTTGTATGCTCACAAGTCTTCCGCTGAATGACTCATAAGTATCAAGGGTAAATATTTACAAGTTGCCATGCAACTTGGGGTAATAGTGTAGATGACAGGCTTGTCAGAAGAAACCTTTTTCCTACCTCTAAAATATGCTCACATTATGTTACTACAGTACTGTACTGTATTCACATACTGTACCTGTATTTTGAAATTCTGTTTGACATTCCTGATAAATTGATGACCACTTCAGAATTTCATAAAGATTTTCCATTGTAATATGCAGTCATGCACATGTCACTTATGGTTATCATTATATTTTAGGTTTGCCACAAAAGTTGGCATTGGAGGTGGTGTAATTTATGTGACTGTGGATCAAGGAATATGGGGTGACAGTCACCGGGCTGCTGCCACATATGACAGACTTTATGACATCATGCCTGGAACAAAGAGTGTATCAGAAAAGGTATGTCTTTTAGTGCTTAGGTGTACAAAAAATTATGCTAATTTTTTACTTAATAGTTGTACCACTAAACTGAACCATAATTTCCAGCAGGAATATTAATGTAGAAATGCATCTTGGCTTCAAGGGGGAGGGATATAGCAGGAGTGGCCTAGCTCAGAAAACCAGGAAATTCACAAATCCAGCAGTTTCTTTTGTCTCATGAGTGTCAGATTTGAGGTTACATTCTGTTTTGTATATTAAATCAAAACTTAAATGGTACAGTAATTTAGTTATTTTGGCACATTCTTGAACATTTTACCAGGATACTTATTATTCCTCTTTTTTTTATTTTCAGTACTTACAATTACCGAAGAAAGATGATGTTAATATTAATTTCCGAAGTTATTGGAATACTGGGATCTTTTATACTTTTGACTTCATTGCTAATCTACCATCAAAAATTGTCAGGCTTAAAGATGTCATTATAGATTTTGCAACCTCACCACCTGTTCCTGACAAACAAAATGAACAACAACTTAAGGCCGAGGAAACAAATATGGAAGAAAGCCAACTGCCACCTAGTACACCTGTAGATGATGTGACAGCCACACCTCCACAAGACTCGGTGGATTCTCCACCACCATTAGTCCCTCACCAAGCAGATGAAAAATCAGACTGATATTGTCATCTTTCCAAAATGATAATAATGTTTTATTAAGGGTTACAGTATAATAATTTACATCTCCTTGACTTTCTAACTCTGTATATAGCCATCATTAAATAAATTAATATCCAAGTTTTTATTTCAATATACCTTTGACAGGAAGAGGCTGCCAAATAAGCATTATCAAGATTTATAAATACAATTATCTTAATTTTCAGAATATAAAGAAAAAATTAAATGACTATTTATGGAGTGGGGAGAGTATTATCTCCCAAATATTCCTCACCATACCCAAAACTGTCCTCAAAAGGACCCTTTGACCCCCTGATCAGATAGACCTGGAGTCCTTGTTGTTTAAGTGCTGCCATTGACATTAATATAAGTGACCATGTTTGACCTTTTGCTTGATGGTCTTGACCCTATTCTGTATACTGTACAGTGACTGAGCATATTCTTCATGGGTCATTTTGTTTTGGATAAAGAAAACAATAATATATACATAAGATACAGATTGATATAATCTCTTTATGAGGTTCATATAATAAATCATAAAAAATACCTGTACATATCTTTTACACCAGTGTTTACAATATACATAAACTGTACTGTATAAGTACTGTAGTTGAAGAATGTAGAAAATGACAGGAGTAAGTATTATCATCATGAGTACAGTACAGGTATAAGCAAAACTGCATTTTCAATGCAATAAGTCTTACTTATTCTACAATTATATTTCTGAAACTATATTAAAATAAATATATATAAAATACATGGACCTGTAGATATTTTGTACAATTATTTAGTTACTCATAAATGATATTGGGTTCATAAGACATTCTGCATTAATAAAGATAAAAATACATCAACATTATTATTAATGGAACAACTATACTGTAATAGGTAATCATACCATGGAGCACAAAGGAAAAAACCCGAGACATTCCCACCTGAAGGTAAAACAGTTTTGTCGTTAACAGAAGTGACATGATCGAGAGAAGGCTTAAGTTATGGAGTAAATTTTCAAGTTAATAATTTATTTGCTTTTGAGATAGATCAGGTGCAGTAAAGATATGTAAAGCCACTGATTTTCCAAGCAAAAATTGCCGGACTGTTTCTGGAAAAAACATTTTGCATTAAACTGCCATTTTGGCAAAACAATTGTTTTTCTACACCATGTTGTAATGAATGAATACTGTAAAAGCCATGCCATTAATTTCTATGTGGTTTATTAGCAGAATTCACATTTTATATGCATGGAATTCTCTTAGTTATTTGTTTATAGTCAACAAGATAAATCTAATGTAATGCTGTTACCTCACTAACATGGAATTATTAATGCAGTCCTACAGTACCAGTCTATGCAATTGGCTAATCTTAGATACTGTAGCTTATGTCTACTTAATATCCTTTAAGTATTTTCCTCTCAAGTTAACTACTGTAATCATGAATGTAGTGAACTAATCATGCTCATCACATGATCATTTACGGTGTCTATCCTCATGAGCACTGCAGGGTTTAGGATTAGAACATAGCACTCCATGGTCCTCATACATGTTATCTGAAAATTATTTTCCCTTTTCATTTGTCATTACTCAAAGTAATGAGGCATTTCACTTTAATTTTTTAGAGAAAAATGCTATTTTTTTTCTATGCGCCTTGTATGTGATATATAGTGTAGTAGTGAGCATAGCCTATTGCTGTGCAGTCCAATATGTGGAACATTCACATATAAGATACATTCCTGTAACCTACAGATTTTCAAATGTTGGGAACAGGAAGATAATGGCATTACCAAGGGAGGCAGGAAGGAGACATTAATGTGATATTCAGATCAGCAGGCTATTGTATGTGTTTACTACATCATGTTCTTGGGGTAACCTTCCGTTAATATAATATGCCTAAAGGTATTAAGTAAAATGACTAATGGATGAGGAAAATACAAAACAATTAGATAACATAACAGCTTCTTCCCACGCAAATCTCCCCCTCCTCAAGAGTTAGTTATATAATGAGCAGTATGCAAGTACAGTACCCCTTATTTCCAATGTTGCAGAGCTGGTCTATGAAGAATTATTTCCATATTATGATATACAGTAGTACCCCGATTTACGCGGTCAATTGAACCCATGGGGTACCGCGGAAAGTGAAAACCGCGTAAAGTGAACAACAGAACATATGGGATGAATTCCAATAGAGACTGGCCCGACCCCCAAACTCCACTTTTTCAGACACAATACTAGTTGTGGTAAAAATAACATCTTAACTTTATGATGGTATGCACACACAATTAATAATTAAGAGAAATATCAATAATATTAGGTTTTTTAACACTTACATTAGTAGAAGAGATGGCTGGGCACACGGGGATGGGGGGTTGGTTCTGAGGCAGAGGACAGATTATTGGCCCTCACCTGTATCACTTGTATCAATTGTATCACTATCCACCACATAGGCTTGCAGGGTCTCTTTGTCAAACCCCTCAAAGTCCATATAAGTCCATATCCTCACTATCACTGACTTGGGCCGGCTGTGGTGGGTGAAAAACTCGGTAATGTTTTGATGAATGGGCGACCTTGTGCGCATTCTGCCAGCGCCGCTTCCCGCGTATATGAGTAGATGCACCGTGTAAAGTGAAATTCTGGTTCTGGCGAGGTACCGCGTAAATGTAGAATCGCGTAAAGCGGGGTAATACTGTAGTAGAAAATTAAAATATTGTATACAGTATGTTTAGTATATTGTACAGTCAGGGTCAAAAGTTTTCTCCCGCCCAAAATGAGACACAACAGTCAGGGTAAGTCAGTTCGGAGACTCATTCACATGACTCAATTTTACGACGGAGCGAACTTTTGTTCCCGACTGTACATACATTTATGATGATCTAATACTGTACTGTACTGTAGTTCTAAAGTAAAATCTCCTTACTTCTTAAGCTCCCCCGAATACTTTTCCAACATCCTTATCAGAGACTGCAATGGGTTTCGAACAGTCTAACATTCCTTCATACAGTGCTTCCATAACTTCAGTATTCTTTCCAAACAGCTCTTACACTTCAGCACTTCTCTAAAACATCTCCACTAGTGCTGAACAACTTTTCAGCACTGACAGTTCTCATTTCCATCAGTCCACCAAAGCAATTCCAGTTCTCTTACAAATTTTAAAATAATCTTCCAATACTGTGAAAACACTCCAACTTCTAACAATCTCCATTTTCTAAACTTTCCCCTTTGTATATCTTCCTTCCATTATCTGAACCTTTTATATTTGATCCCTCAACGAAATACTATACAATGATATACACATTCAAACCATTTGCAATACCAATGCAACTGGGGGATTTCAAGGTCCATTCCAACAAGTCAGCAGCCAATCAAATAGCTTGAAATCAACACTTCTACACTCATCAAGTCACCAGCCAATCAAATCACTTGATCTTAACACAGATGTGGAAACAGCTTTGAGGATAAAATTTGATTAAAACTTTAATTTTTTAGACATAACCCATCATGGTAAAAAATACGCACCGGAAACTTTGAAACTGTTAATACAGTAGTTGGTACAGTATAACATTTACATAATGTAGTTCTCCCCCCCCCTCCCCCCCCAAAAAAATGGAAAAGAGTTTTAACTGGATTACAGATTGACTAGTCCCATGATCATCCCAGAGTCTAATAATGACAGACACCTTTAAATGTTCCAAGGCAGGAAATTGTAAATTATTACTTATACATTAGATACACAACACAGTACAGTATTAATTAATAAATTGGAGGTCTGATGATGACAAGAGATTTGTCAAAACATAACCAAATAAATTAATTTATCATCATGTACAGTAGCTAAAACAACTATCTGTACATACTTTGTGGGAAACAATATGAGACCATGGGCAATAAATTTTGGTATATGAGGGCTGTTACTAGTCACATGAAATTTTTTTGAGCATATCGACCCCCACCTGCACAGATAGTTGTTTTAGCTGCTGTGCATAAAAAAATAAGCATTTGATGTAGTTTCATTATCATTCAATTCTAATGTCTAGCTGATGATGCTTCATAGATTTAAATTGACCATCATAAGCTTGTGCTGAAATCACAATGTAGTTGGTACTTGTGACCCTGAAAAAATTTACTTATAGTTCTGAAAGTACCGTTTCCTTAACTATCAACCAGAAGATAGACATAAAAAAAAAAAATGAACAAGGTGAGAAGCAGAGTAAAATCATAGAAAAGAATAGTCCAGGGACTAGTGTAATGCATCAAACAAAAAACACAAAGATAATGAGAACTTTCACAGGGTACGTCTCCCTCTACTAAAAGTAATGATAGTAGAAAGTGTAGTGTATTAAAGGTCCTACTTATTTCAGTGGTTTATCACCAAAAGATCCAAAGGTGCTCCAAGTCTGGCCCAAAGTACAGTACTATAATAACTTGTTTTCAGGACCTAAGCTTACAATTTATAATTTTTTTCTGAATATGCAGTGTATTTATGTCCCAAAAATCTGAAAATTTGGATAATCCAATACCCCTTCAGCCCTAGGGCAATTTGGTTAAGAGACCTGACTACATCATTCACAATAGAATAAAAGATATGAGGAGTATATGGCTTATTATTCTTTGTCAATACCTGTACTGTACTAATTAAAGTTACCACCTACAGTATGTCATTAAATTTGGCATAAAATCTAAATATTTCTGACATTTTGTCAACTCTAATACCTCTAAAATATATTCTGTGGATGCATATAGCCAAGCCTGCTTACTTCCTGTTAAAAATATTTTACATTTAAAATGCAAAATTTATACCATCATTTCCTTAATATTTAGTAACGAATATTAACTTGCTACCTGAAGTTTCAAGGATAAGATCATTCCTCTACTATACAGTATATTACTCTTTATCATTATGGCTGTAAATATACAGTATATAACTTTCACTAGTAATAGAACTATAAAAAGTTAAAGCGTGAAATAGGTTAAGATGGCACAAGGCCCAGAAAACCCATTGACCTAAAGAGAGCAAATGCCATAACTGCATGAGGCCACCCAGTATTAAAATTCTCAAGGAACAGGACATGCTCCTTAGTGTGAAGATTAATTGTTGGTGGAAGCACAGTTTACTGATTGTTGAAGAGG